ATAAATATGAACCCTTTGTATATGTTTGCCTTTTACTGCATAATCTGAATGTTTGATGTCACTCACATTTGTGTGAGGTAGTTCCTCAATGTCCTATTAGTGTTGGCCACATTCCTGCACTGGCTTACTCTGCCTTACAGGGTACATCTTTTTCAAGGCACAAGTGTATGTCAACTGTTTGGGATATCCATATTCCTGTGGCACAGTGTACTCACAGTCAACAACAAACTCTTCTTTGTGTGCTTTTTTTAACACAGCCTATTCACAAAACTTTTAACAGTAAAGTTTTATGTATTTAAATTTTAAATACAACTCAAACAGTTATTGGGAAATTTAATATTCATGCTATAAATACAAAATAGTGCTTTATACAAATCTGGTACTTTTCACCTGAAATGTTCAAAGATCTCTACAAAGGACAATAAATTGTAAATGGTTATGAATACTGTGAAGTACTTGTTATATACATGTTATGAGGAAGGTGTTATATAAGTAAAATTTATTGTTCAGCACAGGAAACAAAATTTTCATGTAGTAGATCTAAGTTAGCATTATTTTTTTCTGCTGCAACAAAAATATCATTATGCATATATCTTGAAGTCACCAGTCAATCCTTTAAATATTTCAGATACTTTACATTGTTCCCTAGTAAGAATATTATTTTCCCATTATAATGATTTCTCTCATGAAATGAATATGCAACAAATGAATATGTAGCAATTTATACAATGTCAAGTTATTTGCCAAACGATAAGTTTCTCCCTTGTTTTGTTTGTTCTGGCTCTAGCATGTGGGGGGACCTGACCTAGGACTGGTAGATTAGGAAACAGTCTGAATCCTGTCAGTTCTCCTCATGACTTACAAACACCATACCAGGTATCTAAGTACACATTCACAAATCTTTTTAGCCATTTGTGTTGTTGTTCAAGCAGTGATTAATGAAGTGATCGCAGTTTAGCTGCTAGTGTACTCCGATTTGCTTTGCTAAGTTTTAATGCATCAATAAGCACCTCCTTTCAAACTGCAGAACATACCAGACAGTAGTATATGACTTGGGAAACCTGTTCTGTATTTATAAGTTTCATATTACAAATCCTAAAAAAGTAAAAAAAAAAAAAAAACCAAACAAACAAAACAAACACAAACAAACCATGTTAAAATGGTTAAAATGTTGTATTTCATTTTTGGAGTGTAAAATATTATCACATTACTGCAACTTATTATCCAAAATTAAATCATTACAAACCCAAGAAAATCAAAGTAACAATAATTTAAAAAATGGACCTGGAATACTATTTGATATCCCCTTCACCAATAATAATGTCCAACCCTTCCAAATAAAGAAAGCCTAGTGTTTACATGGCATAAGGCAAACTAGATCTAGCTGAGGTACTGCAAAGCCTCACAGCTGTTAGGCCAGGCTTCTCACTAAGCCAGACCTAGGACTCCTCAAGGCTATTCCTTCCTGTGCTTCTGGCTTATGCAACCCACAAAAGTCAAGGCAGTGCCTTAGCACAGCACTAATTTAGGCAGTATTGATTTTCAGAGGTTCCAGTGATGGCAGTAGCAAATAATAACAATAAAAGGATCATCAATTTGCTCTTGTACTACACGTACTAGTCAGTTTTATTTCCAACTTGACAGTTTAGGAAAGGAGGCATTACAAAATACTTATAATTCTACAGATGTGTAATTAAAAAAAAAAAACTATATACATTCAAAAAAATACTTACAAACCTTTTACCTTTTACAATATTGTTCAATGTTTGCCTTTGGAAGGGTGTGCCATTTCTGTTCCTATTTGTTACCTAATGGAAGTCCATATTTTTCTTGCATTGCTAGGAGTTTAGAAGAGAAAAGAATAGGTAAAATAAATTATTAGTCTTGTATTTTATACTCATTAAAATGTACTTCTTGCCAGATCTGTTCTCTTTCAGACTGATCAGAATTCTGTTGCAGCATGCAGGTATTGTCTACTTCTGACTTTCATCACATTCACAAAATAAATTGTGAAAACAGTGTCTATGTGTTTACTGCACTTTCCTGTGACTACTCTGCAAGTTCTGCACTTGTCCCTCTATTTCCTTGCAGGCAATGAAAGAGTAGAGGTAGGGTTATTCAACGATCAGCTGAAATTGGAGTGGTCCATGAGGAGACTTGTGGTGAAATTATTCATCAGTAAGTATCAGTATTATTTCAAATAGGATACCAGTCTATTTTTTCTGTCAGTTTTACCTCTATTATCTTCAGATGTCTGGATTCTAATTAAAGAGAAATTGACAACTAAGCTAGGTAGCATATCCATTTTGCTGTAGTTGTTTATGCCAAGACAATCCATGAACTTTTTAACAAACTAAATAGGCATTTCATAAGATTAGAGCTGAAATGTACAAAATTCTTTCAATCCCCTTAAAAAATCTATTTAAAAGGTAACTGTGAGATTCATATGTAGAATCAGCTGTCTGAAAATTACAGAGATAGCACTCCTACTGATGTAATGTGCATTGGTGAAATATATATGTTCTCTGCAAAGAGCACCATGTTTCTTTTTGGTTCCAAAAGAAGTTGCTACAACTCCCTGTTCATCTATAACCCTCCCTGGTTAGGGTAGTACTTCTCTCTGTGTGATGGTGCAGTGGGGATCAGACTTAAGAATTGTTCCAGGTTGAAAGAAACTTAATGGCTCTGCCCACTGAAGTTTTAAAAAAAATTAAAAAAAGCAATGGACATTTCGAGATAGAGAGAAAAGATTATTCAGGTGGTCATTCTGACAGCAGCAAAGAGCCTGGATTTCAAGTTTATGTTCTTACATAAACGACGAAAATCACAACAAATCCTGACTTGTTTGGCCTTCTAATGGATTGCTTTTGGTCTCAGCACTTGAAATTAAAAGGGTTCACATCAGGCATTGATCCCAATTTAAAGAGAACTGGTTTTAGTAGAAGTGAGCACTTTCGTGGCACAGGTGGGTCTGGCCTCAGGTAACAAACATGGTACCCCAGCCCTGCTGTGGTAGGAACACAAGTCCCTTTTCATTCTCTTCCTCTTCCAGCCTGACAACTTCGGCGAGCTGCATCAAGAGCCAAATCTGGTTAGTCATCCTTGTATCACCAAGGTCTAAGGCCCTCTGGCAGTTCACTTATGCTTCTGACACACTTAATTACGAGAGAAGTGGTATAAATAGTAATAAATTCTTAGTTAAACATTTCAAAGTGTTTATGGCTTACTTGAAAACTAATAAAAAATAACTGCTCGTCCAAATCCAGGCCCTAAGAGTTCATGGAAATTCTCATTTTGTTTACAGGTAACTCACTCCAGTGGTTTCCATTATTTAACACTTCATTTGAAATTTCTTCCTGTTTGTCTTAAGACTTCTACCTTCAAAAATATTTGCTTCTAATATCATAAGAGCCATTTTTGGCTTTTTGAATACACAAGGCAAAACTGGAATTTCTTCCAAAGGTTTCAGCAGAGTAATTCTCAGTAGTTTAACACTTGTCTGTTCATTTGATTATCTTGCTATTCTAACAAATATTATTAATTGACAAGAGAAAACATATATTTTAATGAATGAGCATAACAATAGTGTACGTAATGGATTAGATCTTAAAGCAGAATTACGGGAAGAGAAACTCCTATTTAAAAACCCAGAACAGACACATAACATATAAACAAAAAACAAGGGAGGGAAACAGAATTCAAAACAGGAAGGGGGTGTTCAATATTTCAACAAAGGAAATGTAGGATAAAAACTGAAAACTTGTACAAGCAATAGTGGTGATTGAAGATTCTGTATTTTTTCCACTAGATTGTGATTTTGATAGCTGTGTTAACTCCTGTGAAGGAAATTAAAGAACTAAATGCTTAAAGGTAAGACCTTTGCAAATAAGTATGAGTCATCTCTTACGAAGTCAGAGATAAGAATTATTTGGTTTTTTTAAAAACACAGGAAACCAATACGCAGGTTCTCTCCGTGCCATGAATAAGACTGAGTGTTTGACCTGCATGGACCTATCACCAATCCTGACACACACATCCTCCAATTCTTTAATCATGAGTTATGTGAAATTAACTTAGGTTTTTCATGTTTATTTAGCACACTGAGTATATTCCTACAGTAAAAAAAAAAATAACCTAAACCATAAAAATAGGTAAATGCATTACATAACTTCAGAATATATGTGCAGTGATGTGTGCAATTTAAAATTAATTGCAGTATAATCCCTTGTAACACTACTTTGTAAAATACTGATCAGCAATAAACATGCGATGTTCAATCACCCATAGTAACAAAGTTTATGGCTTACGCATTTATTGCATTTGAACATTATTAGCCCTGAGCCGACGGGCCCTGCGCTTCCGGCAAAGGACGTGCTCACACCTTCAGCACAAACCCAGCATGACTCAGGGTATTTGGGCGTAATCCCGCGGCAGCGAGCGGGGAAACACGCACGTCGCTCCCGCTTGTTGCCTCTTGGCAACTTCTGATTTACTTAGCCAAATAAATGTAAAAGAACTATGTCATACTATGAATGACTGATGTAAGGACCGTGCTTTTACTAATTACAAAACAACCTGCGGGGAGCATCTCGGCGGGGCGGCCTCTGGGCAGGTTTCCGTGTCCGTCAGGGCTCCGGCACCGCCCAGGGAACAACCGGGGGTTGTGCCTCCTCCCCTCCCTAGGCCAGCGCGGGGACGGCCGGGGCTGGACCCTGCGATGGAGCCCAGCCAACCGCCCTTATCGGCGGGCCCGGCCGGCGCGGGGAGCAGCGGGCACCGCCCCGCTATCGCACGCCCGGAGCGCGGCGCGGGGAGCCGGCGGGCCCGCGGCCGCCGCGGCTGTTACCGGCCGCCCCCGCCCCCGGCGGCGCGGGGCCGCCCCGCCCGCACCGCGGCCCGCCCCGGCCAATGGGCGGCGCCGGCGGGGCCCCGCGGCGGCGGTTGGTCAGCGCCGCGGCCGTTGCGCCCCGCGGCCGCCCGGCACCGCCGCCCGCCCGCGCGCGGCTCCGCCTCCCGCCGTGGCCGCTGGCGCTGGGAGGCCCCGCAGACGCCATTTCCTCGGCGCCCCCGCGGCGGCGCGGCTGCATCAGCGCTGACGTGAGGCCGACGTGCGGCTCCGCCCGGCCCGATCCCCCCCACCCCCTGTGACGGGGGCAGCACGTACAGGGCGGCGGGTGAGTGCGGGAGGGGGCGGGGACACGTGTGCGCGCAGCCCGACCCCCTGCGGGCCGGGAGCGGGGCAGCGCGGAGGGCAGCGGGCGGCGCGGCGGGCAGGGACGGGACGGGACGGGCAGGCGGGGGGCGCTGTGCCGCGCTTGGCGCAGCCCCGCCGCGGGAGCGCGCGGGAGGCGGCGGGGGCGCGTCCCCGCCGGCAGCCGGGGGCGCGCTGCGCTCAGGGACGGCGGCGCAGAGCCCGCACGGCGCTGTGGGGCTGCCCCGGGGCGGCTGCGCGGAGCGCCGGCTCCGGTACCGCCCGGCAGCCGCGGCGCTCGCCGGGCTCCGGCAGGCGGTGGCTCCAGAGCTTGCTCGGGACGCCGGCTCGGCTCGCCCGGCGTTGCGGCTCGGAGCGGGGTCAGCGCCTGCCCGCGGCGGGCAGAGCGCCCCGACCGGCCCGTCCTGGGGTCTGCGCGGGGCTGCCCCGGCCGAGGGCAGCGGCGGTGCCCGGTGGCTTTTGTGCCTTAGTCCGTTACTCGCGGTTATCGCCTTGCCCGTAGAGCGTTCGGAGCTGGGTCAGAACAAGTGGGGAGGGATCACAGTGGGCTTCGTGAGTTCGAAGTCTTGCTTGAAGCTTTTATCTGCATCCCCCACTGCTGTGACAGCATCATTTTTGGTGCTGAGTGCAGCCGCTGTTAAGTGGTTCCAGGGACTGATGCTTGACGGATGCTCTGGCTTACCCCGGCTGGGCCCCTCTGAAGGGGCCGCGTGTCCGCTCGCAGCCGGCTCTGCGCTGCATTGGCAGCGTGGTTGAGGCGGCAGGCGCCGAGTGGCCGAGTAGCATTGCCTGTGCTCAGAGTAATGTTGGGGTTTTAAGATTTTTGGGGAAGAAAATAGGGAAATAAGACTGTAGGAGACACAAGAACCTTAGTGATGAAGCTTCTGTTGATACTGAAAACTTTCAGACCCAGCAGTTTGCAGACAGTGCACTGTGGTGCTGCTGCACATTTTACTTGACTGAATTCTGTGATCACCTTATCAGCTGGTGTTCTTCATGCTACCAGCATGGTAAAACTGTTATTACAGAGTTGATAGAAAACACAGTGCTCTTCTGAAACCAGTGTATTCTGAGAGTTTCCATACTAACTGTGGGGTCAGCAATAAATGCAAAACAGGTGTTTGTACATTCGCATTCTTGATTTCTAGTAACTCCCCTGTGAATAAAGGCCTTCAAAGAGATTTGGAGCAAGGCTGAAACATATTTTTTTAGCCCCTTACGATTGATTTCCTATGTATCAAACCACATTTGTAAATGTAAACAGTCCCTGATGTATAAAGGATGATTGAAATAAAAAAGTTGTTTTTAAAAATGTCTGTGGGTATTTATTCAGACAGTCACACACTTCCAGTTATGCAAAATACTGTAGCAATGTGCTTTTGCAGTATAATTTCACCAATAGACCTTAAATATTATGTTGATATGCAGTGATGTAAAACAAACAGCAGTACAGGGAGGCGTGAAAGGATTTCTTGTGCTCTTTATTGCAAAAGAACATAGCTTGCTAGGGATGCTAGCCTTCATCTCTTACCTATGGGCAAAAATACAAAGAATTCACACCTTTAGCTGTAAATTACTCAAAATTTTCTAGGAAAAATTTTCTCTTTTCCTGTAGCTGATTCCATCTGTCAGATTTCTCCTGTCAGGGGTGGTTCATCTCGCAGTTGAATAAGCTTTTGATGTGTACTGTATGCATCATCTTAATCAGTGTTTATCTGCTACTGATCACTGCCCTGCTGTCCATTAGTCTCAGTGACTACAGTAAAGATGTGCTTAGGTATATTGAAATGTTGCTGGTTTGGTAACAGTTAAACCTCCTGCCAGATCCTGAAGATCTTTTTGCAATGTTGTAGGAAGAAGCAAAGATCTTTGCTTCATTATGGAAAACCATTTTTTCCCCCTTTTTATGTGTGTGCAGAGGTATAACTTATTTATTAATTTAAAAATCTAGACTAGTATTTTAAATTATTGTTCAGTCTTTGTAAGTAACTAAGATTGAAAATGTAAGAAAAAGATGTATTAATAATGAGTATAAGACTAAAACTTGTATATAATTAGTCATACAATGAAGAAAAACATTATAATGTTAAACAGGACCCAAGACCACTTACTTTGAACTATTTGCTTAGTTTTCCTTTAAAAATAGAAGGAAGGTTATGTCAACTTTTAAGTGTGATGTGTACTGCTACTGATAGACTTTTATAAAGGATTTTAGAGGCTTTGCGGAAAATTTGGTTTTTCTTTCTTGGAAACTTAATAGCAATGAATGTGTTAATATCTGCTTACAATGAAGACTGATTGAGTGTGGTATGTGTGGAAACTGTTTTCTGAATTGGATTAGTAACAGTTTCATGCCACAGTCTGTATTACTGACATTTTAGAAACAGCATAATTATAGTATTGCTCGGTATTTTTTCTGTGTATATATTAAAAAGTTTGATGTATTCATGTTGACATGATACATAGTACAGGAAATAAAAACCCTGTACAGTTCAGGTTATCTCTGAAGACAATGACAAGCTCATCTGAAATGCAGGAGTTCCTTGGCTTGGTCTTAAGCTGTGTACAAGCCCATATAAACTGCACAGCTGAGTGTGACTGTGCCACCACTGACCCTGTGGGCTCAAATGACTGCAGCTGACCAGCTCCTGCCAGGCCAGCGATCCCATGGCTGTGTCTGTCAAAGATTCCTGTCTTGTATCATGTCTGAATTGTGACACTAATGTGCTAGTTTGTCTTAAATCATCATTCTCACTGAAGTTTTATGCCAAGATAGCTCATGTATCTTTTAGAATTACTCATATACTTTTTTTTTTTATTTTGTTTTGTTTTTTTTTTTTTTTTTTTTTTTTTTTTTTTTTTTTTTTTTTTTTTTTTTTTTTTTTTTTTTTTTTTTCTGTGATTGGATCTTTATATTTGGATGTTGTTTCAAGTCAAGTCTCTGTTTGGTCACAGAGGTTGTCAAAAAGAAAAGTATTTTGCTATGTTTCACAGTAGTGATTGCATTTTTATGGCAGTCACATTTTCAGACTTTACTCCACCCTGCTAAAGTTCTCAATTAAGCAATCATTTGTATTAGGAGTCAGAATATACACAATTATAGATGGAAAATCTATATAAATTCTGGAGTTTTCCGTGTATATCAAAAATCTTAATTATGTTTTTCACTCCACTGACATGTACAGTTCTTGCTGTTGTTTTTCTAATTAAAGATAAATAATAAAAAAATACCCCTTTCTCTGTACTGCATTCCCCAAAGTACGAGGAATAACTTTGTTAGATTTTCTGCTGCACTGATGTTGTTTTTGTAGCTTTTTGCTAACTTAGTTAATGCAGCACTGCAGATGAAAAGTCTCGGGGAGAAAAATCCTGATAAAGTAGTAGAAATAGATACATTTTTATACTGTTCTGTAATCAGTGAGAAATTAAGCTAAAAATCAGGAACTAAATTTTTTCCAAGATGAAAAATATCACTTTCAGGGTAAAAATTCTATGAAATGCATTCAGTGGGAATAAAAGTACTTGTTTTTTTGTTCTTATTTGGTTTTGGGTGGATTTTTTGTTTTGGTTTTTTTTTTTTTTTTTTTTGGTTTTTTTTTTTTTTTTTTTTTTTTTTTTTTTTTTTTTTTTTTTTTTTTTTTTTTTTTGTTTTTTGTTTTTTTTTCTGTTTTCTGTGACAGATGGCTCTGGATACAAAAAATAGTTCAGGGCCTTCATAAAGTGAATTAATTCTGGCTATATTCCCATCTTTAGGAAGAGATTACAATGAATATGTTGCCGGTACATAGGCATTATTTATTCTTGGTGTGTGAGCTGTTCTGAAGCGTATTCTTACTAGAACCCCATGGACCTTTCATATTTGAGACTTTTTTTCCCTACTTTATTATTGTTATTATATTGCACATATATAAAACCAGCATAGTTTTATTAGGTAATATCTTATAGAAAATTATGATTAAAAGCTTGGTGAAAAGCTTGGTAAAAACATTTTCCTCAGAGCTGTTAGACTTTGGTGAATTTCAGTAGACATTTCATTAGATTGTATCTAAACAAAAAGGTAATTAGTGGCAACTTGCAAGAGAAAATGTAGAAAGATTTTAGGTGTAAAATAGCTCCATATAATTCTAATCTGAATTGATACTGGCATAGGGTATGTAACTTCTCTGAGCAGAAATACTCACGTTAACCCATAAAATGGTGAATTGTTTTGCAGCTTTGTTACTAATAGCTATAGTACTGTTAAGTCTGGTCAGTAGAGTACCATTTGAGGCATATGAGCTACAAATATGCTTCTTTGCATCATTTTACTGGGTATGTTTTCATATTTTCATGCCTTTATTTTGGGCACAAATTTGATTTCTAAAAAAGTAATAAAAAGTGTTCTCTTCAAAGATTGTGGAATGTTCTGTAAAATAGTGCCACAAAAGGAGTTTGGTTACATTTAATTTCTTTAATGTAGTTAACTTATAACAGGCACTAAATTCCAGAGCCCTCAGAGTGAGGTGGGCAGCAGTGCCTGCCTGCCTCTTGCATCTCTCAGTGCAAGTCCTGAGAAGAAACCAAAGTAATTATCAGCCAGCTGAAATTATTGAACTTTGACCTCAGGCTTGTCATCCCCTAGTTGCAGAACCTGAACCTGGGGAACTGAGATTTGCTGCCTGTTAAATCTCACAACTAATATCATGTCTCCCTTTTGAGGCTGTCAATTGGTTGTGTAAGTAGGGTGTAGGTGGGAGCGTGCCTGCAGGGCATCCTGCCTGCCTCTGCCTGACCCTATCCTGTCTCTCCTCTGTTTGTAAACTGACCTGTTGCCATGGCAATGTTTGACATCACCTGTTCAATGTTGCACCTTCAGTGCAGGGTTTGGTAGGAGAGAAAGGGAGCCGAAGAGATCCAAGCTCTTGTTTTAAATCTCACACCTTCCGTTATGACTAAGTGTGCCAAGAAATATCGAAAAGGAACTGTCAGGTAATTGCATTTTTATATAGCAGATATGTAGCAAATTTGGAAGTTCTTGCTATGAAGTTTAAACTCTTAGTTTACATTGAGGATCAGCAAGTTCTTAGTTTTCAATGCAATCTATCCTACTTTAAACCTGTAAAGTGAGAAGAATTGTTGTGGCTCTTGAGCCATGAGTAGTTTACAGACAATTCAAGTGTAGATGACAACAGGGAGTAGGCATCTTGGAAGTGTAAGAGGGCTGTAGCAGCCCATGAGGCTGAAGGGACCTTCTGTGGGCAGCACTGCATGGGACCCTGGCACTCTGCTTGTCCCTCCCCTGAGAACCATCTCCAGAGCTGCCTCTCCCTACAGCTTTCCAAAATACTTGTTTGAGAGCTCCTGGATATATTTTAGTACAGAGGAATGAAGAAAAGACTTCGTTTTGACAGATACATATTTATTTTCTGTCTGCATTAAATATAAAATAGTTTGGAGTTACTCTCCCTAGCTGCCTGATATACCTCCCTGTACTGAGTTATTTAAATGTGTATGTACTTGCTTTTAGACTGATGACCATGGAAATGGTTGAACAGGATGACAGTGCAGCGGATTCTCTGACAGAGAGACGTGCTGGTCCCCTTCAGAATCAGCCAGGCCAGAATCAGATTTCCTCAGGATCTGAGGTAAGTTGAAATGTGGAAAGATGAGAAGAATCAATGAAGTGATATTCAGAACTGCTATGATTTTTAAACTATAAATCTTTGTGGTATTCTCATGTTTTATCTTGATATTAAATAGGAAAAATAAAGCAAAGATTTACCGGAAACTATGCCTTCAGTAGTTAACAAAGGACTAATATGACATCAGGTCTGTTGAAAGGTAACATTTTTAGGAGCCCTTTCAGACAAGAGTGGTCAGTAAACAAACGGGTTTTTTCATTTTACTTCCACAAGGTGATTTTTAAAAGATGAGCTACAGTCTTTAAGAATTGAGGTGGCTACAAGATCAAACTTCATTCACACAAGACTAAACTTCATTTGTGTATCTAGAAGATGTGTTCTATAACAAAAATGAAAACATGAATAAAAATATCTGTAGTTCTCTTCCTAGTTCCAGTTTTTGTACAGAATGTATTTCATCTAGTTGCAGTTACTCTTTTAATGTGTCCTTGTTTTGTTTCATTCCTGTGTATCCAATGAGAGTGTCTGGACTTCTAAAAGCATACTTTACATGTTTTCTATAGTTGCTCTACCTGGATTATTGTTTGGTAGTGAATGGATAAAAGATTATGTAGTAACAATTCTCAAGCATTAAAAATATGTATTGTAATAGTCAGCACTTGAGAGAAATAGTGTTCCTGACAGTACTAAGATTTATAGCTTCAGAAAAGTGTATGGACCACTTAAAAGGATTTTCAAAAGCCCTTTTTTAAATAAAATAACTGATTTTCAAAAATGTCTTACAGACTTTTTTCATCATTGTAAGTTTGAAGTTACTTGTTAAGACTTGATGCCACATATTTATGTTAGATACTTGATTTACATTATAGATACATTTTTAAAACTGAAGACAGCTGCTCTTTTGTCAGATCTTCAGACAAAAAGTAGACCACAAAATATTTATCAACCTTTTTTTGTTGGTTTTGATGCATGCAGCATTGGGAATATTGTTTGTTTTTTTTTCTTTAAGGAATTTATTTGGTTTGCTCTGTTGGTGTCATCCCCTCATTTCTTCTTTAGTGGTTCTGTTCAAATTTTCATATGATGAATGATGTGTAAAATCTATTGGCTTGTGCAATAGCCTCTGCAGGAGACATCTGTGAATTCTGTCACTTGGGTTTTTTAGAGTTGATCCAGGGACAAAGGTGTCACTAATGCTGTAGGAGAGTTTTTGCACTCCTATATTGTGCAATGTATAACACTTTCTATGTTTGTCTGCATTTAACACTTGAATTCTGTGTGTGAAGGTTCAGCTGTACAGGGAATGGGCCTCACGCCTTCCAGTTAAAATGAGTAACTCTGAAGTATTGATGACTCTCCTTCAATTAACACTGAACCAAGAGGTGTAGCTCAGTTTGAAGGCTGAGTGTTACAGCCTGGAGTGGAGTAGTGGAGTCCCTGTTTGTGTCTGGATGGCTCAGAGAGGCGTCCTGGAGGCGTCCTGGAGCCGTCCTGGAGCCGTCCTGTCCCGCTGCTTGGCGCAGGAGCTGCCGTCCCCTCCCGGGCACGCGGCGCAGCGCTCCGGGCCTGTGCCCATGGCCTCGGCCGCTGGCTCCCAGCCCTGCAGCCCTCATATGCCCTCAGTGCCTTCAGGCTGCTCTGCCACAGCACTTGCTGGGTGGAACTGCCAGACAGAGCACTTACTGCTGACAGGCCTTTTGAGACGCTCCTGTGGCTTACGATGAGTAGGATTTTCTTAGCCTGTGTTCCTGCCTGGCTGGCTTGGAAGGTGAGGCGCTTTGTCATGGAGAGTTGGGCCTGGGTGTTGAGGAGTTAAAGCCCGCTGGAGGCCCTCTAGGAGACATCTGACTGATTTTGTGGTGGTCCAGATGGGAAATTTGTGTGTTTCTGAGGATTTCATGGCTGTGCCTGTGTATTTTGACTGTAACATAGGAGCGCAGATCCCATCTCCCTCTTTGGCCTGTTGAGGAGTGCACAAGAGAAGACAACCACTATAACTGACTGAAACATCTTATGTTAGCTTCCAGTCATCCCTCTTACTATTTCTGTTGCAAATATGCAGAAATAGTAGAAAAGAATGACTTGATTCTTACTGAGAGCAAAAATGCCTGATCACTGAAACTGAGAGCTCCTTTTCAAGTATATCCAAGGGAGTGGGGAGATGGCAGCTTTATTTGTGGTTTTTTTTTTAGCAAAATATTTGTTCAGCCTTGGCTTTGGTCAGTCAGAAGTAAAACGTTTTGATACACTGTGTTTTAATTTGTGGTTTTCTGTGCATTATCAAAGAATGAATTGTAGAAGCATCAAGCTTGGGAGGAACTTTTTAAGATTATCTAGTCTGACCTGCCTGTGCAAGCAGTGTCAGCCAGAAGTCTCTCTGCCTGGAATGTAAATATCCCCAAGGATGGAGTCTCTAGAGCCTCCCTGGCCATCTGTACCAGCAGGTGACTGCCCTTCCAGTAAACATGTGGAGTTTTAATGTCCAGATAGAATGTAATGGTTTTTAATGTGCTTGATATTTAATTGAATTATGACTTTGGCCAGGGACTGACTAGCAAAATGCTGAGAGATACTACACAGGAGATGGGCACTTTTTTCTTCTTCCTGGGGGGTAGCTGACTTATTTTCCCCTCCTCTGTAGGCTTTTTAAAGAAATACCTGCCATTTAGTTTTAAAAGGCTGGACCAGGTACTTCATAAGATGATAATCTTTAGAGAGCAGAGATTGTTTTGTGCTGAAGCATTTTTAATGTATCCCCTACTGGGAGAGAGAGGAGACATTAAGAACGTGTGGGCTGGAGACTATGGTGTGATGGGATGACCTCCAATGCTAAGAAGGATGTATTATACATTATTTGTAGAGGAAAAAATAGCGTTTGCATTTTTTTCTTAGTTTGGGTCATAGATATTGCTGTATTCTCCTGCATTTTTTTTTGCTGCTGAAAGTAAAATTACTTGTTCTACTAAAGCAAAAATGAGTAAGTTTGAAACTAGTGAAGATGAGATGCACTTTTTGTCCATTAAATGCTTATTTTTTAAGTAAAATGTCCTACTATAGAATCAGTTTATAGTTGCATTTCTTGCATCTGTCGCTGTTAGCCAGTTGATTAATTGACATGGTAATATTGTTGTGATCCAGCTACCAGAATAAATAGGTAAGAAAGTAAAATCATTTGTGGCTGTCTTTAGAAGCTGTTGAAAATGTGCTGAACACCTGTACAAAAGCTTGATGCCTTTGAGGGAAGAGCAGAGGTGTGAGATGGAAAATTTCTTAACCAGTTTTGAGATGAGCTCCATGAGTTGTCTCAATTGCACAGATCATTTGTTCCTACATATAGAGCTGTACTTACGAAGAAGTTAACTTGTATTGGAATATTTTGATAGTGTTGATGATAGTCAAACTTACGTCTCCGAAGACTTAAATCTGCAATTGTATTCAAAGAGAAATTAGATGTTCCTTTTGCAGGTTTTCTAGAAGCCATGCTGCATTCTGTGTTGCTGCTCTGTGCTCAGATACACTGAATGTAACTGTAACAATGCAAGATCAATGTGCTTTATCCCTTCTCAGATTTGATAAAAACACTTTTAGTTGTCTTTTCTTTTTTCTTCAATCTGCATCTTGATGGGCTCCTCTTTGATTCACTTTTTGTTAATGTTGTCATGTTGTCTATCGTTAGGGCTGTCTGCTGACCTTGTCTGAGATACCGTCTGTTGACCTCTTGCTGCTGGCCTTGAATAGACCTATGTCAGGATTTACAATGTGAGAACTGCTGTCACAGAGCATAGGGAGATTTTCAGTGAGATTTTCAGAGCCTGGAGTGCATAGCTATTGCAAGCTGGGACCATTCAAGTTCAGTAATTTGGGGTGTTGTCCTTGTGGGCTCTTGACATCAGTGTTAAATGTTGCTCTCTAGAGATTGAGACTTATGGGAGTTTGATAGGCTGTTTTAAGTAAGGCTCTAAAATCAGCCTGCCACATGCAAATGCTGGCAATTTAGCAAAGTTGGTGTTCGAGGATTTTAAGTGTCCAGCTGTGTCACTATTTTGTGCTTCCTTGAAGCGTATGGTGGCATCAAATGTCTGGAGTCAGCCTAACCTTATTTTCCTTAAAGGTAGGTACTGCTGTTTTGGCAGTGTCTTTGATATTGATCAAAACATCTGTCTCCAGCTTTTCCTCATAGAGGCTACTCAGTGCCCAAGTGTGGCAGGTCCTTTGATCCTTTATTAGGTGAATCCAGTGTGGATTTGCCTTGACTTTTCCAGAATTGCTTTTCACTTTACTTCTAGAGTTCCTTGTAGTATTTAGAGTCTGCAGCAGGGGCAGAAATCAGTTGGGCCTGTGTCCTGCATTCTTCATTTGGCAATGTTGAAGGCATGAGGGGTTGACTGTGAAGGTAGTCTCTCTAGTACTTGGCAGGGAAGGGATATCTGACATTCACAGGATATCCAGGATAACTGTACAGATGGACCACGTATCTTGAAGTTACATAAATGATGGGCAGCCTCTTTCTCTGCAAGAGTGTGTGCCTCAGTGGGAAGGTGGTACCTGGTCATTCTTGCTGACTACTTTTATCTCCTCATGTAGAAGAATACCTGAAATAATGGGACCATGCTATTATGGGTTGCATGGTTGATATTTATTGAAGCTATTGGTTGTAACTGTTGTGTGCCTAGGAGCATAGAACCCGTAGAGTGTGCTAAGCCTCCCCTCAGCCTCTGTATTCCTGACTTCCTTCTGTGGATTGTTTTCAGCTTCTGTGCCAGACAGTCCTTGAAGTAATGATGTTAAAGGTAGCATTGCTCATCACTGATGTCAAAAATAAATTTCTTTGCCAAGTTTGTTTCAGTCAGGATTTACACATGATAGCATGAAAATGTTCTGGTATTTCAGTTGACACATGAATATTCAGCTTGAAAACTGTTAAGAAAAATCTCAATCAAAATTCAGATTTATCATTATCAAAATTTCAGATTTATTATTATCAAAATAATAATTTCCAATATCTATAAATGCGATGCAGAATATGAACATTGAAAATTTTATAATACTACTGTCTCCTCCTTAGCACTTAAACCTCTTCATTTAATCTCTTATCTAAATTAATGGGAACAAAACCATTTCGCCTTTAAACTTTAGTACAAAAGAGTATTAGCTGAATGAAGTTTTCTTTTTTGGGTTTTTTTTTCCCTGTGGGGTTATACTGAATAAGGAGCTTTAAAATGAATGTAGTTTCTTAATCTCAAGTACTGGATTATTTCCTGATTATGACAGACCCATTGTGTACCAAAAAGAAATTTTAAACTGTTCACCTTTTACTGATTTATGGCTGTTGTACTCAGAAAGTTCTTTCTGACCCACTGAGTATTGTATCAAATTGCAATTCTCACAAAGAGAGCAGTAAATGGAAAGGTCTGGTGGAATTGCCTTTATAATGTTTTGAAAAGTTAGCATGCTTTGTAAACATTTAGACTGCTCTATGATCCCTGCTTGAAGCTTGGGTTTAGCATGTAAGCTTTGCCACAAAAATAGATCATACTCTTCAGATGTTTGAGACTTTCTGGAGCTTAATCTCAAATATCTATTTCTGATAAATTTCTCATAATATTAATATTTGTTGAATAGGTTGGGAAGAAGGTTTCTATGTCCTATTTCCCTGTTACTATTTAATGCCATTTAAGGAATGGTTTGAGGAACTCATTTTCAGGGTTAAAAATGCCCTCAATTGTTCTGTTTTCTGAAAAGTGGTTCAGTTTCCTTCAACACTGAACAATTGCATAGGGAATGTTGACAAGATCCTGTCTTTGTTTCCTAGAAACATTGTTTCTTCAAGGTAATTTTAACCAACATTAGGACTTTTTGATTGCAGTGCAACTTAATAGTAGTTAAAATTTTTCACTTCCTCCAAGAAGGGGATTATTTCCTAGACCAGCAATATCTTACGGATCAGGAATGAAAACTGCTTTTATATTTGGTTTAAAAAAAACCTTAGTGTAAATATATAAAAATTACAAAAGTTTCTTCAACTGTTTTTTTTTTTAATACTCAGCATTCTTTATGTTTTTCTTCTTACTCTCATTTTATGTTTACTGCTCATACTAGATACTTTTGGAGCTGTGAACAAAGGAAGGGAATACTAACAGAATTTTATATTTGAGTCTGCTTTTATTGTTGAATGTGCAGAATATAGAAATAACTTTTCAGTGCAGTTTAATTGAAAAACACAGCATTTCTTTTTATGATATGGTTTATGTTTGTCATTGTCTTCATTTTCCAAGTTTAGAGATGTTTCATCACACAAGTTGAGGTCAGTCATAGTGTTTTGCCTTTGCATCACTGCTTGTTCCTGTTCATAGATTTAACAGTAGCAGCAGAAATATTGAACTATTTCTTAGCCCATAGATGTTAAGCTGTTTCTCAACCCATTTGTCCTCAGCACTGAGGGCTGAGAGTCACAGGCTGGGGAAAGCTGTTGTAGGGCTGTACTAGACTTAGAGAAGATTCAGATGTTCTTTGTTTTTGTTGTTGTTCAAAGCACTGATGCGCTCCAACTCTCCTTTTCTGGGTATATAAAATTATATATATATAAAACAGGAGTCCGTTAAACTAAATCAGTTTACAAATCCTTGTATGGCTTTATTTAACAGGGAAGTTTTTCACTATCTGAAGAATTCTCATGTCTCTTGAGACATCCATCCAAAAAGCATAACTTCTTACCTAATAAGCAAAGGAAAACTAAAGCAGTTCTAATTTTTTTTTTCTTCCTAAGAAAATTCTGCCCTTTATATTGCAGTGACATTCCACTCCACATGGGTTCTGTTGCATTTCTGGAGGTTCTTCCTAACTTTCATGCTGGCAACGTGATGGCTGAGGGTTGGAGTTTTTTTTGATTGAAAAGAAAGTACAAAGCCTCTGGAGAGCAACAAACCAAATAAGGAGGGCAAATAACCAAACTAAAAGTTTGTTAGGGTACAGTTTTAAGCTTTCCAGACTATTTGGAAAAGTACATGCCTTTGGTAGTTTTACTAGTAAAATAATTTAATTTTGTGTATGTGATAATTATCTACATCTAAGCTATTTTAGATGTGGCAACAAAATCAGTCTGTTTTAGCTATCACTTCTAAAAGCATTTGGTGAAATCTTAAGCCGTCTTACTTACACATGATGATTGTAATTTTTGCAGGTTTCTGTAGCTGCTTCCAGTGCTGGAAGAGGATCTCCAGCTGTAACTCTAGTGCAGTTGCCTTCTGGTCAAACTGTTCATGTCCAGGGTGTCATTCAAGCTACACAGCCCTCAGTCATTCAGTCACCACACATGCAAGCTGTTCAGGTTAGCTTTTTTTATTGTTACATTTTCATTAATATTTGGTACCTCATAACTCTTTTCCCAACTCATCTTCAGTTTTACTTCATCCCAGCCAGTGCTGCAAGATTTACTCAGATGGCACAGGAAACAGCAGGGGGAAAGGTGGCAAACATCCAACCAGCAGCATTGTGTAGCAATTCCTTAATGCTTCCTGTTTATCTTATAAGAAATTGTCTGAGAACTTGTGTCTGAACTTATGCAATAGCAAATTTGTGTTATAACCATGGCCTTACTTCAGTGTATCCTGCAGTTTTTAATCATCTTGTATTGCCTTTTGTGGATGTGGATACCAAAAATACAAGCAGCCTCGAAACACACATATATGTGGCAAATGTTCGTGTGTTTAAAGTTGCTGGAACTAGGAAACAGAGGTTGGTGCAAAACATGTAAGACTTTTCAAAGTTTTTAAAAAGTAGTAAAGGCAAGAGAGAATGAATTTGCAGTGTTTTGAAAATTTACTGGCCTCCCATTGTTTTTTTTTTTTTGTAGCTAGGAAGGCCTCTGCTCTAGTTTTTGAAAATGTGTTTGGGAAATACCGGCTGAATTGCTTTTTGCAGATATAATTGATATTTCTTGTAAAAGAGGTAATACACCTCTCCCGTTTAGGAGGGAAGGGTTTTACCTGTGGTCATTGCAATACATTAAGGAAAAACCATGTGTTATCGATCTTGAGAAGCCATCTTTAATGTTAGAGGCTTCTTAGTAACTTTCCAGTATAATAAACAAAAAGACATATATAAGTAGGATTTATATTTGAGAAAAATAATAAAATCGTGATCAGATAATGAATATTTTATTGTTGAGCAGTAGGTGTAGGTGCTGGGACCTCAAGGTTTTGAAATCCTAGATCACTATGGAAAGAGGTGCAGTAGGTACCAATACTTGATCGAACTTGAAGTCAGAACAGAGTATTCAAATACTTTTTTTCATTGGAATTATTTCCAACTGTAATTTTCCTGAATAACCTTTATTCAATAAGCACATTAGTAATTCGCAGTTTCTGTTCCTTTAGTCAGTGTAGATGAAAAGATAGAGGACTTTTTTCAAAGCTCAGAAGAAGAAATTTCTCAGGAATCTCTTGCCAGCTGCTTCTGTGTCATCTTAGGGGAGTGGAAGTCGATTATTTGTTGTATTGAGTGAACTCTGGCTGTCCAACCTTTCTCAAAGGAGTAGAAACAGGAAAGTTTTGTCCCAGTTAATACTGACTAGTTATTTCAGGCTTTGGTTTCATCTGGGTAATAAAGAGCTTGAAGATGCCATAGAAGAATCCATTACAGAGGATGTTCAGCCCTTCTGTGATCCTTTTCAGTACACTGTCCTGTCACCTGGCATTTCCCCCAGATCATTTGGCTTTAACTTGCTACCTTGTTTCTGCCAGACAGTGGGGAACTTTGGAAATTATATCAGTTTAAAAAAGAAATAAAGAAGTATGCTGAAGATTGGTGTTGAAGTTTGCATGACCTCTCCCTCAAACATCTGCCATTTTCAACTGGAAAGTGTTCAGAAGTTTTTCTCATAATGGTGTTGTTTCTTAGATGAAAAAATGTGTTTATAGCATTCCTTATTGTTTTGTTAAATGTTGTTTTATTTGTAGGAAGATTTAATTTATTATTTGACTTATTGCTTGCTCCCCCCTGTAGTGTATCAGGTCTTGGAAACAACATGAGTTTGAAGTTAAATTTGTTCAAATGCAGATGAAGCTGAAATAAGTAAAGTTGAAATCTGAACGATGTCCAGGAAAAAATTACAATGGTTTGTGGTTTGTTTGTTAACGTTATGGACATGGTTGTTTGCCCTTAGAGTGATCTGAAGTGTTCATTTCTCTCTTTGTCATGATGAAAATTAAAACTTTTGAAATTTCTTGTAGAAAATGTCCTCTTCCACATTGTGGTGGTTTGACATTGGCCAAATTCCAGGCCCTCATGGAAGTTATTCACTCACCCTCTCCTGCTACAGCTGGGCGGAGGAGAGAATTTACAAAGGGTTTCATGAATTGACATAAGGACCAGGAGAAAACATTCCAACAGCAAAACAGGCTTAACTTAAAGATACAAAGTGAATTTATAACTAACAAAATCAGAGCAGGATAATGAGAAGTAAAATAAGCCCATGAGGACACCTTTTTTCCTCCAGCCCCTCCCTCCTTCCCACTGACAGTGCAGGGAGACAGTGTGGGCATTTTGGTCAGTTTGTCACCCAAGGTTTTCCTCTGCTGCACAGGGAGAGAAGTTGTTCCCCAGTGAGACTGTGGGATCCCTCCCACAGGAGACAGTTCTCCATTAACTTCTCCAGCATGGCTCCAATCTCTTGAGCATCAGTCCTCCCAAAACTGCTGCAATGTGAGTCCCTTCCACAGGCAAACCATGCTCCCAAAACTGCTGTGGTATGGGTTGCTCTTCCACGGGGTGCAGTCCTCCAAGGACAGGCCAGTCCAACTCCGGAGCAAGACCTGTCTCTCCATGGGCTTCCTGCTGGACCACAGCCTCCTCCAGGCATCCACCTGCTCTGGCATGGGCACCTCCCCCACAGGCTGTGGGGGAATTCTGCACTCCTGTGGATCCCCATGGGCTGCAAGGGCACAGCTGCTTCACTGTGGTCTCACCACGGCCTGCAGAGGAATCTTGGCTCCAGCGTCTAGAGCACCTTCTCCTCCACTGACCTTGGTGTCTCCATGTTGTTTCCCTCACATGTTCTCACCTCTTCTTTTCTGACTGGAATTGAAACTGTGCTCCCAACCTATGTTTTGATTTCTTCCTAAATATGTTAACACAGAGGTGTTGCCATCATCTCTAATTGGTTCGGACTTGCCAGTGGTATATCCATCTGCAGAGCCATCGGGAATTGGCTCTACTGGACATCATCGAAGCTTCTAGCAGCTTCTCACAGAAGCCACCTTTGCAGGCCCTCTGCTACCAAAAACCATGCTGTACAAAACAAATACACACATTAAAATGCTTAAATCATCTTGTAATTTCCTTACCTACTTCCTAAAGTATGACTGTTCCCAACTTCTTCAACCATCTTCACAAACTAGTGGGTCTATTGGTAGCTGTTAGAGTAACGTGACAACTTGACAATTAAAGCCTTGGTTTTGAGCTGTTTGTCCTGGGACAAATAGATTATTTAACACCCAGGCCCCAGCAGAATGAAAATTCTGTTTTGAGTTACAGTGCCCAGGCTCTTTCTTGGCTGTGCAATGGTATCTTACTTTTGAAGGATTATGCCAGAGGCTTGAAGGTGAATCCATGAGGGGCTGGCTGCAGGTATATTGGGAGGGAAATGTCTTTCAGCATCTCTCTCTGCTGCTCAGCATTGGTCTCTCCTGCAAAAGGAGGAATGCAAATTTCTTGAAGTACCTGTGTCTCTGCAGTCAGCTTTGATATCTGGTTTGGAGTTATACACCTGTACACATGCAGAAGTAATTCTCACCACCTAGGTGGCAGATGTAGAGTTCTAATGATGTTTGTTGCATATTACCCAGTCAACTGAGGCTACATTAAATATTTTTACACAGAAGTGTACTGTAATAAAATTAACAAATGAAGAGATAATTTTGTTCTGCAACAATCTGCAGTTCTTCAAGGTGGAGTTCTTGAGGTGACCCAGACCTATAACCTATACAGGTTTGAGTTGAGGTGACCCAGACCTATACATTTCCAGAACCTTCCAGACAGTCTTTTTCTATTGAGGTCAGGCAGGTTTTGTTTCTAGTACCAAGCACTGAGGACTGGCAGATGCATTCATTCCAGAGCTCTTCCTTGTATTCCCTGAGCTTCCACTGCAGCTGGTTCAAACCCTTAAAGTCTTCTAGTCTCTTACATCACGTTTTCACAGATGTTAATCTTCACTGTTAGTTTAACGAACTGCTTAATCTGAAACTACAGTCTGGTCTGGCTTCATGGGAAAAGATTTTCATACTATTTCATTTGGAAATCTCAGCACAGCAGTAGTTAAAAGAATCCAAGAAAATAAAGCCTTTTCCTCATTCAATAATGACTTTCAGTTCTGTGTAGTAAGATAGGTGCTGGTCAAAAGTGTGATTGAGCCCTAGGCCTTAATGTTGTTAGGAGTAATTTTAAGAATGTATGGAAATACTAAAGGTCTGAGAAAATGAGATACTGTAGATTTCTCAGGCACTTCCAAAACTTGTACAACATTGCTAAGCAATGCCTTTGTATTTATGAATGTGTTAGTAAATCTAATAAATGTATATATTTAAATAAAGTTATTTTTAAAATAGCTTTGGTGTGGTATGAGGAAGCTTTTATTTGTATACTATTGTTTAAAGCACATTAGTGCAGTATTCTGTATTTTAGATATTTGACCTCACTTTAAGAGCTAATTAAATTGTGTAATATTTTTATATTTAAAGAAATCTGTTTCCAGTATTTTTTCTAAGTGTCATTCATAAAAAAGTAACCTGGATTATATTGACTTTTTCCTTTTTCAAATGGAAGATGTTATCTGAGTGGCTATGTCTGGGTAACTTCAGAATTTGTGATTTGCATTGGAAAAAGTAGTCTAAAATAGTATGATTAGTGATAAGTCAACAAACTTCCCATAGGTAAACATGGAAGGAATTCTTTAAAAAAATTTACTCTGCTGCTGTTTTTTTAATGAAGTTATGAATTTCAGGAACTTTGCTATTACAGGTAGCATCGATTGCAGATGAAGCTGCACCATCAGAAGTGATAATTGATTCTCAAAAACGTAGGGAAATACTTTCAAGAAGGCCTTCATACCGGTAAGGACTTTTAATTTTAATTTTGATTAATTTTGGTTTTGCTGATTTTTAAAGGCAGCTTATTTGTTACAGCAAAACTGTCTGATAAAAGTCAGTTCTTTGATTTTCTTATGGGTATGGATCTTCAAGTACATAAAATTACTTACATTCTTTTTTTAGAAAAATTTTGAATGAACTCTCATCAGATGCACCTGCAGTAGCGAAGATTGAAGAAGAGGAGAAGTCAGAAGATGAAGGAACGCCTTCTGGTATTTCTGCAATGGCCATGCCAACCAGCCTGTATCATACTAACACAGGGCAATACCGTATGTTTGCAAACGTACTATGTGTTGATGCAGAACATGTATAGCAAAGCTTTGTTTCCAGGAGTTGCATAATGCAATAAGGATGTTTGATTTTGATGAAGAAGAATAAGAGATTCTGTATTTCTAAGTAATTGTTATTAATTTTTTCTAACATGGGGATTTATAGACTTTTAGTCTTGTAGTATTTGTTGGCTGCTAGATTTGGTTGTTCTAGAGCTTCTATGCATTAAAATATGGGGTAAGGCTCAGCTGAAATGAAAAATGTTGACACTTTTATGTGAATGTTTAATGATACAAATCATTGCAGTTTCAAATTCTTTTGATTTGCTATGTATTAGTGCTATTCATTATATGAAATGGCAAGTAGAGTTTTTTAAATGTAAGGTTGGAGTATGAAATTACTTGTTAAGTTCTAATTTTCTTTTTTAAAAGAACTATGTGCTTTTGTCATCAGCTTTTAAGTATTTACACTTTCACCACAGAATTAACCTAAATCATGGTTTCCAACATTTTATACATCATCCAAATGCAAATTAAAAGTTACATCCACAGTTCTGTTCTATAGGCTTGCTTTTGGATATTTTTATTCTGGCATTTATAGAAGTGTTGCATAACTTGCACTTTGTGACTTCTTTGGACATAATCAGATAATCAGTTATCAGTTTGGATAACTTTGTAATAACAACTCTTTAAAATTATGTATTTTATAAAGCTTCACTCCTACAGTTTGTAGGGGTTTTTCATCTCTTTTCATAAGTAGACACACTAAAGTGCAGGTGTTTTTCCTTTGATATAATGACAGGAAGATTGCATAAGAAATGTTGTGGAGACTTTTTCCTGAAATGAGAAAACAGAGGAAGTATATTAAAACACTGCACTGGCATATAAAAGAGGATAGAATGGCTCTACTTGTGTTCTGCTCACCCTTAGAATTCTTCCCTTATTTTTAATTTATGTAACTAAACTAATTATTAATGGTGAGAAGAATTTGCCTGTACTATCTATCCTTTCAGCATAGAAAGTATTTTTGCTTGTGCCCCTAGGCTGCTTTTCATACCCATTCTGTAAGCTCTAGACATAAATAAATAAATGTTTGCTGTATGATGTCCAGCATCTGAAATGTTCTTTTCTGTGGAAAAGAATATAATCATCCTAAATTACAAATATTCAGTAGAGAATCTGGCATGTATTAATGTATTCTTGTATTCTAAGAAAAATTAAATATTTTTATTCAATTTTTGAATTGTATTTTTGATTTTGCTTAGGTTTAATTAAGAATTTATAAATTTGCCATTTCAAGGCTTAAAAAAAAGTGTTATGATGTCTGTGTGAGCCTGTAAACCTATAGGATTTCTAAGACATTTTAGAGCTTAGCTTTAATTATGGCTTCGTCTGGGAAGCCAAAGCTGTGCTTTGACCACAATGTCTTGCAGGAGGTGATTCTTAGGGGAATATATTTTCATTTGAACACACCTATAAACAATAGTGATAGGGAAATGTTTAAGTGAATATCAGAATTCAAAGGTTTTGGTTCCTTGTTCAATCAGACATCTACTTCTGAAAATTAAGCAACAGAAAGCATCACTGACGATGTGAGAACAGAATCCACAAAACTTTAATTAAATCTAATGTGTTTTAATTTAAACTTGGCTATAAGCCAAGCATGGGAGATTTCTGTTCTTTGCTGCTTTTTCTTTGAGTAAGTTACAGTTGTAGCATAAAACATGTACTGTATAATTAAGGTTCTCATTATAATGTGGCATTGCTTCAAAATGCAATGTCAGCCTTCATGGACTCTCTTGGTTTTGACTCAAAAAATCAAGAGAGTTTTGAGAGCTTTTTCTTTTTCGAAATAGTCTTTCTTGCTGAATTGATTAGTTCATCAATTTGTTTTTTTTTTTAAAGTTCACTTTTGTAAGTTAAAATATTTTTTGCCTCAGCAAAGTCTGTATATTTTAATTAGGCCTGGGGGTAGCAAGGATGGTCATTTCCTTGTAATAATGGGGGTCTTAATTTGGAACTTACTGAAGAGAGCTTAACTGTTGACCCCTAGTCTTTACATTCATGAAGCACAGATTTGAAGCATTTTTGAGCTATCCTGTTGGTTGCCTGTAATCCTCAGGAGCTGCTGTTAGCTAAAACCAGGAACACTGGGTGGGAATGTAGCAAATCCAGTGTTGATTTTAGACTGGATATGATGCAGATCACTCCATGTACCTCCTTCATCTTTATGCCTCCTGTTTATAACCCTGTGCTTCTGCCTGTCGTTTCTGTGCCTGAGGACTCCTCTCTCCCTGGCCAGCATGGGCTGCACATGTTCTCCTGCAGGCATTCAGTAGTTTATGCATTAAGCTTGTGCAGTGTCTGTGGCAATGAAGAACTGGCATTGTGGTGTCACTGTGGCCATCTGAACTGTGCCCTGGTTTAAAAGAGGTGTTATGTTATTATGTTTACTGGTTCCTTTTTTTCTCTACTATTCTCTCTATTCCTGCAAAGGAAGGACAATTTCACTGAAAAGGTCACTTTGACTGTGTGTTTATGTCTCAATGTCTGGCATGACTCTTTTTGGAACAACTTGATAAGTGAATTTTTCTGGAAAATGTATTTTTGTCTATTAGCAGCATTGATGGCTCTTTACTTACTTTTCACCAGGCAAAATGGTATGTTGCCATGGTTTCCCAGTACCCTTTTCCTTGGAGCTTCTTGGCTTTGGCTTATGGAAGCAGACAGGCTGGCATGACCCAATAAAATGTCTTTGCCAGCTACCTCCGTCAACATATGTGTGATCTTACTGCCAGGTGCTGTCTTGTGTAGGAGCCTTGTATTCTTATCTGACTACACACCTACTCTATTGGCTACAGTTCTGTCATGTTGGTTATTTAATACTGAAAAAAAATGCTTCCTCACTTGTGGTAGTAGTCTAATGTGTAAGAGTTGTTTGTTCAGTTGGAGTGTGTGAACCAGTCTCCCCATCTCCCTGCCTCCTTGTGCATATCATGATCTGCATGAAAAAATGCAGGGGGAATGAAAATTATTAGCTCTTTTGCTATCTGTTTGGGTTACTTGCTGTCTTAGAATAGACTTTTAGCAATTGGAGAATTAAGAAACCTTTTGGGAAAGACTAACTTTAGTTTCATTTTCAGTTTTGGAAGAGAAAAAGATCTTGTTTTTTTCCTGGATTAGAACTGATGATCATACTCAGAGAGAGGTATTGCTACTGTCCTCACTCGTAGTTGGAAGAGAAGATGGTGGTTGCATCTATCCACCTGCATGACATTCAGCTACAGGGACTGTCCAGGAAAGTCCTGTACTCATTATAAAAGGCTCAGTTTTCAGTAGAGCTCCAGCACAATAAGGTGTGTGCAGTGGTTGAGATCAGGACAGTGAATGGGAGGATGAGCAGTGTGTTGTTCTGGAAATATGGCAGGAATCAGTCCTGTAAGGGAGGCAGTTACTGGAGTTAATTCGCTTTTGTTTATAAAGTACTGGATTGGGATCTGAAGGAATAATTACCAGACAGCTGTGACATAATTGTTTACCCAGGTTCACAGTGGAGCCAAAATTTTTGTATCAATCTGTGCTGATGTTTTACTGCTTAGGAAGCCAAACTGACTGGGGTTTATGTGGTATGGTTCTATGATGGTGTAGATGTACCTGGTGCTAACTCTGAGAGGGAGAATTTAGCTCTTTATAACTTGTCTGAGAGGTAGAGTTGACAAATCTTGTTGCTCTTGTCCTGGACTTTGTGAAGAGTAGAGGATACAATGCTTTACTTTTCTTGCTTCTCTCTCTTTTGTCCTGCCCTAAAATGGGGCACTTTCAGCTTTGGAGGCCAGACTGAAACATCCTGCACTCTGCACCTTGCCACAGCTCTTCCCCTTCTCCTCAAAGCCTTACAGAGCCTGTGTGCAGCACTCAACTAATTCCTATGTTACATACTCCTCATTCCAAGGGCAGGACTGGAGGTCCATGCTGAACCCTGTTTCAGTATTGCAGATAAGGCTCTGAACTTAATTCATCAGGAGAGGAATTCCATGTTTACCCCAAAAGAAGCTAATTCAAGTGTTGGGATTTGGCAATCTCAGTCTCTTTCCAATGTTTAGATCTGAGGTTGAGCTTTTGAGATAACCTGCTGTTGCCAAAACAGAACATTTGAAATCAGCAATCTCTAAAATTCACATAGGTATCTAACAAATCCTGTACTGAGATAAGCAGAGCTGAACCTTCAAGAATGGCATCAAGTACTGTAATCTGACAATGAACTCAGAGGAGCTGGCAAGCTCTGAATCTTTTTTTTATGTCTGACTTTTATAACAGATCACTTTAAATACAATGTTCATAGTTTAAATATCTTTTGGGGGAGAAAGGATTTTTTTGCTCCTTGGGCATTGGATTCTCAGGTAAAAGTTTCAGATTGTTTTAATTAACATAGGAGATGTGGGTTTGGCTGGTGAATCACTTGGTAGATCAGGAATTGGCTCAAAGAGGTCCAGTCAATAGCTTGATGTTCAGGTGGAGGCCAATGATGAGTGGTGTCCTTCAGAGATCTGGTTTGGGACCAGTATTATTTAGGATCTTTGCTTGGAGATGTGGAAGGTGGGGTTGAATGCACCTTCAGAAAGTTTGCAGGTGACACCAGGCTAATGATACTCAAAGTTGATACTCAAAGCTCGATAGAGAGAAGAGATCCCATCCAAAGGGACTGTCACAAAGTAGAGAGGTGGACACATGCAAACTTAATGATAAGGCCAATGCCAATTGTCAATACACAGTGTCCTGTGTATGGGTTGTGGCAATCCTAAATGTGGATATAGGCTGGGCATTGAGTGGATTGAGAGGACCTGGTTGTGCTGGTGGCTGAAATACTGACTATGAGCTTGCAGCCTGGAAAGCCAGCCAGATCTTAGGCTGCATCCAAAGGAGTGTGAGCAGCATCTTGAGGGATGCAATTTTGCCCCTCCACCTTGGTAAGACCCCACCTGGAGTGCTGCATCCAGCTCCGAGTTTCCAGCATGAGACACACGTGGACTTGCTTGAACAGATCCATCACTTTTATATGGCTAGGAGCTACTATGTTTTCCCCTAGTATTTGAACTATTTTTGTAGAGTTAATGTTTCTGAAAACATAGAGATAAAATGTGTTGAACACTGCATATACTACACAACAGGCTTTATATTTGTGGAAATCTGTATTAATATTACCTAAGTTTTATCATACAATTGATCCTTGAGCAAGGAGAGGACCAGGAGTCCTATAAAACAATGTTTATTTCATGTTTTTTAGCATGTGTTATGTCTTTCTATTGCTTAGCTTTTTTTTTTTTTTTTCTGTTTAGTTACCATATCTCAAGGTGGTACAATTCAGACCGTGACAAATTCAGGAGCTCCTCAGCCAGGCGCTACCATTGTGCAATATGCAGCACAGTCATCTGATGGCACGCAACAGTTTTTTGTTCCTGGAAGCCAAGTTGTTGTTCAAGGTATATTTTAATAGTCTACTCCATTTTCATTTTTTCATATTATACACATTTTCTTAAAAGGTTTCATATTTTGTGTTGACATTATTGCACTATTTATTATTATTAAATAATAATAAAATACAGCAAGATAAAGGAGTCTTAGGAAGGGATTCAGGTTCTCTGCTTAGTAGGGAAGCTACTACATTTGGTTAAAAAGAATGAAATAGCTGTATAACATCACTTTCTGCTTTGGATTGTCTTGTCCAAATTTTGAGACATGTTTAATTGGAATAAAGGTACTCTTGCAGATTTAAGTGAGATGCTGAAGATGCAGATCATTAAATATATGAAACAAATTTGTTTTTTTCAGCAGTTAATGTTAATAAAACACAAATTCTGAAGATTTTGGGATATGTTTTTTTGGGCAGAATTTCCTTTTAACTTATGGCTCTTGCAGTTACAGGAGAGCAGATCCTTTACTGAAGCTAGTTTTCTCACAGAGGAACACTTTGTAGGTCCTATAAAGTGCACACATGATGTGATGAAAACCTTTAAAAATGGGAGATAGATTTCTTTGTGGAGACACTAAATTAATAGCTATGGAGGATATACAGAATTTTTAAAAAATCTTTTTATTTAACAAATTTTCTAAAAATTTTCTTAAGCCAAAACAGCTATGTGAAATAAGCCATGAGAAGAACTTGGAAGGATTTAGATATGTATTAATGGAGTGGATGAGGGTCATCAAATAAATGCTGAAATACATTGTTGTCCCAAGACTTCACAGATGCATTTCAAGCGCTTTAAGACTATAAGATGAAAACAACTTCGCCAAATGTTTTTATGTTCAGAGAGTATTGTTAGAACTTCCCTAAATGTTATTATGAATATATTCTTAACAAAGCCTTAAGACCCAAATTTGGCTGTCCCCCAAACCAATTTCCCACCCTAGTACTGCATGTTTTTCTGAATATGAGTCTCATATATTTTCTATGTGCGTGCCTTACACATCCCTTAAATCAGAGGCCGCCTCCATCTCTCCAGGTACAATAATTAGCATTTTATGGGTACTGCTTTGATTCTTCAGAGCTTTGGTGTCAGAGGCAGAAAGAATAACTCCTTAGCTGCTTCCTAAGACTTCCCAAGTCTGTGAAGAAGCACAGCATTTGAGGATTTTATTTGGCAGCATTTCAGTCCTTGGGAATTCCATTTGGCTGATTTTCCTTTACAGGCTCTCCATTACAGCTCTGTTCTCTGACAGGGCTACTCAGTCTCAGCAATGGGCTGTGCAAGATGGAATTGTCCATTAAGTGTTTTGCCTGTGATGGAAACTTTCAAAATGGATTCAGAGACAGTAACTGAATACCTTCTACATTATGTTTCTGGAAGCATTTGGATACTTTTTAACTAAGTTGATTTGCTCTCTGTCCATGATCAGAGAAGTTTGTTTCCTGGAATTCTCTATTTCCAAAGTCCAGTGCTTTAGTGAGCCTCATAGATGTTAACATAGAAGAAAAATGTGACATAACATACAGGGAAAAGTACAAAGCAAACAGTAAATGAGCATTAACTTGGAGATGACAAGAAGATAAAAGGCTTCAACTTATTCTACATGGTATTGATATTAGAAAATCTTCAGAAAAAACAAAACATCTATAGTAAAAAAAGAGATGTATAAAAATAGTGTGAAAGCACTTGAAGATGTTTATAGTAATACAATTGTATGTAGGCAGCAAACCTGAGTTAATCACAATGGAGTGAGACAATGGAGTAAGTTGAATATACACGGCTGAAATGTCCTTATTATGGGTCATCTTGCCTGTGCTGGAAAGTCTGTTGGAATACAGTTTATGAACATTTGTCATTTTTGTACACTTAGTAGTTGATTGTTCACCTAATATTGTGATAGCATAGATGATAATAGAAAAATATTCTGCTTAGTAATCTTACCACTTAAATATGTATTTTTATAATAATTTTGGATAGGCAACATATAAGTTTTTTATCATAGAAGAAGAAAAGAGTATAACAAATACCTGGAAACAGAAAAGATCTGTTTCAGAATCTTTAAGATATAGCATATGTATTGATATTTTTTCTAAAGTATTTGTTAATGAATCTTATGTAATAATGGATAAGATCACAGAAACCCTATGTTTGATATTTTCTGATAACCTGTGGTGTGGAAAAATACTAGGATAAAAGTGCCAAATATATTGATCCAATTGAGTGACATTGTATTTGCTACAAGTTTACATTTGTAGGCAAAAGAAGAGGCAGTTCTAGTGTCTGAGCAGTTTCTTAATATATTAAAGGTTAAGGATTTTTTTTGCTGGCTGAAGAAGGAAGTGTTTTGACTGTTTGTGAAAATGAGTGTAGAAAAGTTGTATAAAAATCATTCTGTTGGGATCTATGTGTGTTTTCATTATATTGTTAATGATATTTGAAATCTGTGGCTTGAATTTCTTGTGCTTTAGTTCTGATCTTCTGTACATATCATCCTGAAGTGATCCTGTAATTTACAGGTTTAGAGAACACTTCTGTGAACACAGGATGTAAAACACAGAACATCAATGCAAACATTGATGCTTCCACTGCTGCCATCCAGCACAGTTTCACAGCTGATAAATTACCAGTCTGAATTTGTTTAGTACAAAGACCTTAGAAGTTTGCTGTGCCCTACATACAAACCAGTGCTTGGACTCTTGTTCTGAAACTGATTTTATTTGCATTGATGTAAATAAGGAATAACTCTCTTAGAACTGAGTTGTTGTTTTTGTAATTTATATTTTAAAACAGAGTCAGCCAGATCTCTTGGACATATTTTGAAAAAGGAGAGAAGGGGGAAGAGGTAGCCCTTACCCAGAGTTACTGTTGAGCTTGTTACAGCATCTGAAACCACTGGCTTTAGGTTGACTTACTTCGTTGGAGTGTTCCTTAATAATTTCTGAAGCTTTTAACTGAAATTAAATGAGTGGGTTGTGGGTTTTCCTGCAAAGCGAGGAGCTCTAGCCTTTCATTTACCTATTTGTTACAGCTTATTAAGCTTTCCTGTCTTGCATGTCTGTCCAACAGAGTTCTCTGCCTTTTAGTGGAACTGTTCCAATGAAAACAACTGCATGTCTGTTTTAAGTTTCCTTATTTTCTATCAAATCATGACTTTCTCATTTGGATTCATTAATGAATGCTAGAACCGTGTTTTAATTTCTGTCAGTCAGTGCTGTGAATTTTCAAGTCTTTCTTAACAGCCTGCTTTGTGGTGAGTGCTTTCTGTAGCTTTATGAATAATTCAGGAAAAAAGAACAAAGCTAAGATTATAGCAATGTGGAAGAGGAAAAAAAACAGGTTTACTGGAAAAGGAATTCTTTGGGCTGCAGTTTCAGTGAGCTGTTCCAGTGATGGAGCATGTTAATGACAGCAGTAAGCAAGTGAGGTCATTGTGATGTCAGTGCTCTTGCTTGTAATCCTGCACATGCTTGGTAGTTTGGAACAGTTCATGCTGAGCTCTGGTAGAGGAGCAGCAGAATTGTGTGTGCAGAAGTTGATCATGGCTGTTACAGGAGATGAAACAGGTAAAAATTTTGTTAGCCTTTGACATGGTATTTTTGTACGTCTGTGCATTGTTTAGTTAATATTTGTGACATTTTCTTTTGAACCTGTTGCTGTAATTCTTTCATCTCTCTAAAGTCATACGAATAGCTTCTAATTCTGTCTACTTAGTGTAGGATTCCAGGGCAATTTTAACGGTTTTGTTTGGGGAGGAAAAACTAAAAATCACTGTTAGTGCATGAGTTCTTGCACAGATTGATTCAGTAACTGTTCTTTATTATTTGATGCAGGATTTTGCTGAAAACAATCCACTGCTCTACTTTTGCATTTTTCTTTATCGTGGTGATAGTCATATATGTTGCTGTATTTATAATTGCTTTTTGTTTTGTAAAAATGACAACTGCCTTTTTTATTGAGCAATAGACGCTACAAATTTGATAGCCATGGGCTTCAACATAGCTTTATAGAGATTGTTTCGGCAGTGTAAATCAATCCTATGCTTCCAGTATTAAAAAAAACACTGAATGGAAACAAATTTGAGGGCAATAATTGAAGTATTGTAAAGCCTGCTTGTTTTCTCCTCCACTGCTAAAATGGTCTGTTCCTCAGCTAATTGAGTTCAAAAGGCTGACGTCATTAGATTTCCTGGAATCGTGTTGCAGTAGGGAACTGGAAAAGTTAAACTCCAAACAAGATACACATTGACGTCAGCTCCAAGTCATGCTGCGATTTAGTCAGTTCCTTTCTGCCTCGTCAATTGCCTGCGGCGGCTCGGTAACTTTAACTACTTCCCTGCCGGCTCCTACGTGCTGCTGCTCAGTGCTGGCGCACGTTGTTTCATTAATCCAAAGATAAATATCTTCTCCGAGTCGATGTTTTTAATGCTCAAAGGGATAATGATTCATGCCTTGTGTAGCCTGTTCAGTGGTGAAGTTAAAAACCCCTTGATAATCAAGTCCCACCATTATGACTCACAGAGGGGGAGAATAGGCATCCAAATACATCAGGCATATTTTCTCCTGGATAGTCACTGAAAGAACTAAGAGTGCAGGGATGCTCTCTAGTGTTCAGCAAGTTACTTTTTCCAAGAGGCGGTTGCCTTTTTAATTTTTTGGTTTTTTTAAATGCATGTTTGGGGTTTTTTTTCACTAGCTGTCTTTTGCCTTTTTTTATTTTCTTTTTATAAGTCTAAACTTCATGTTTTCAGTGCCTTTTTACTCCCTTGCATTTTAAGGAGTAAAAAGAAAAAAAAAATTACCTGGGGCAATGCGATAGGGAAAAGCACCAACTCAAGGTTTGTTGCTTTGTTAGCACTCTCAGTTCTACTTCTGGTACCTTAGGAATGGCATTAAATCTTTGTGAAGTGTCATTAGGAACAACCACAGAAGTTTGGCAGTCTGGATGAAGTGTGTGTGACATTTGTCTCAGACGTTGAAATGGAAGGTATGCTTCACTGTGATATAGAAACATAACTAGGCTTAAAATAACTTCAAAAACAATTAAGTTTATCCCACTGTGTTTAGAGCCCATTTCATCTTTCCAAAGGTCTTTTTCTGGGGAAGTCAGTTACATTACATTTTCTTGAGCTAATATACAAAACATTTTTCAGTCTTCAAAATATTTTTTGCAATGATATATCATAAAACATATATTATTGCACTGCTAAAAGATACTTTGTCAATGCTGTGCTATGCTTTTTTCTTGTTTCTAAACAGTGGTATCTAGATTGGCAAGGTTGGTACCACCAGAATAGTTATTTATCTGTCTTCCTGTGCTGGCAGATTTATAAGTGAGACAACAGTCAGGCAGAGACTGCCACTACTGGGACCTGCTCAGACTAGAATACTTACCACTGGTGTTTGCTGATCCCAGCTGAGATAGGGACTTGCTTTTGTTAAGTCTTGCTGGAGGTACATGATCACAATGAGTCCTTTGCACAAAAGCTGCAGTGAGTCCTGTTTGCTGCCATCTGAGCATAAGTCAGACACAGACAACAAAGTAGTTAGTCTTGCCAGGCTGAGATGGTCTTGCCAGGCTGAGAGCTTTCCCCCATTACTTCATCTATAAAACAGTTTTCTTGGATTTCTAATTCATTGTAGCTGAGGGAAATTAAGATAACATCACTTGAATACCTAGTGATGAAATAGAAGAAGGTAGTTCTTACCACAGAGTCTACAAGATATGTTATGTGGCCAGCATAAAGGTGAGCCTGAAGAGTTGCTAAAAATCTATTTTTATAGTTAGTGAGCTGAGGTATCACTCCATTGATGTGACTGGGAAATGTGGAGGACTTAAAGGGTTAAGCAGTTCTCCTGTAGATGTACAAGATGACCAAGCCCTGTGTTCAGGCAGCTGCCTGTCATTGCTCACAGGGCTGTTCTGGGCTGATTTCTCCCTCCCTGCCTCCCACATCCCCGGGGATTATCCAGGTCAGTTCACTGGTCCAGTTCATCTTGTAATTCCACAAACACTTTTACCCACAGGACTGAGAAGTGGGGGGAGGTGCATGGGGTTTAAGCTGATAATGATTTCAGGACATGGCTGTGGAGTTGTAGTCTAAACACAACTTGATTCTGTTTTTTTTTTGTTTTGAATTGGTGAAACACTTGCATTAATGTAATAACAGTATATTTTTTATTAAGTTTTTTCCCCCCCTGTAGTTTATTGTTATTTCTTAACTGCCCAATCTGTCAGCCTCCCCAAGATGTTTTTGTCTACCTTTTATTTCTCCAAGTTATCCTACTGTCAGCTGGGATAGAGTTAATTTTCTTCCTATTATCTGGTACAGTGTTGTTTTTTGGTTTTAGGATGAGAGAGATGTTGATAGCTCACTCATGGTTTGGTTGTTGCCCAGCAGTAGTTGCAGTAAGTCAAGGACTTTCCAGCTTCTCATGCTCTTCCAGTGAGTAGGCTGGGAGTGCACTCAAAGCTTTGAGGGATCACAGCCAGAGCAGCTGACCCCAGATAGCCAGAAGGGGTATTCCATACCATAAGGCATCATGTTCAGTATATAAACTGTAGGGAAAGCTGGCCTGGGGCCTGCTGCTCAGTAACAAGCTGGGCATCAGTTGGTGAATGGTAAACAATTGCATTTAATTGGCATTATTAATTTTCCTTGGATTTATTTATCCTTTTATTTTCCTTTTCATTACGTTTTATTTTATTTCCATCAAACTCTTCCCATCTCAACCTGTGAATTTTCTCTACTTCATCCAGCTGGGGAGCTGTGTGGGTAGAGTGAACAAGTGACTGTGTGGTGCTTATTTCAGGCTGGGGTTAAACTGTGAGATATGTTTTTCCATTATTTGAATAATGCTTAAAAAAATTGAAGTATAAGCTAAGTGTAATAATAGCCTATGAAGCATCAGCTATATGCAGTTGCTTTAATGACAAAATTTTTGTCATTAAAAAATTTTAATGACAAAAGTTTTTTCTATCATAATTTAAAATATTTGTGGAAATAAATAGGGAAATACTTGCTTGGAATGTAAAGAGGTATGAATTTTTTGTTTGGTTTTATTTTATGTCAGACAAGACACAAGTACTTAGGACTTCCCCAGTGTTTTTAAGTTGCGGTACATCATATAGGGACAAGTACATCTGAAACAAAGAAATGACGTGAGACTGTAGGAAAGGTGTTGGTTTCAAGTCACATCAGATCAGCATTTGGCTTGGGGAGAGCACAGAAATGCTAAACTCAGGAGCTGAATCTGAACTTTTGCCCTCTGATTTACTGTGCAGCTACACTCCTTCCTGTGCAACCACCACTGCCTCCTGTTGCTTGCTAATGCTGCAGCATCCCATGTGTGTCTGCCTTGCCCAGGGAACAAATGCCTGTACATCCTGAGCACTTGTCTGTTCCTTTTCATTGTAGCAACAGCAGCTCTCGCTCATTATCCAAGGTTGCCAAACTGCTGTTTTAAGAGGAGGAGAGGTTGTAAAGCTGGTACTGTTGCTATCTCAAGGAAGGAGGAGAGGAGAAAGTTGTCTTCTGAAGCAAATTGATTCCTGACAGGGAGAACAGGGTAGCAATAAGCTTCAGTGGCTGCAGCAGCAGGACCCTCTTTTTGTGGGATTGTGCAATCAGGAAGTGTCACTGCTTGAACTGTTTCTCAAACTGCTTTCCCCATGTTGTCTGAAAAGAGACATGTGGAAGCTTTCAGTCTGTCTGGCTAGTGGGCCCACATGCTAGAGCAATTCAGATAGTTCAGAGTGGAAATAAATGCTATTAAGATAAAAAATATAGTTGTGTTATTACAGACCTGTGAAATTTTTTATGTATCTGGGATCCTGGATAAATCATTGTCAGAAATCTGTTATTTTCAGATATATCTCTTTTTTTGCCATACATTTTAAAATATGTTTCTTTTGTACAGCTGCCACTGGAGACATGCCAGCTTACCAGATTCGAACTCCCACCACTACCTTACCTCAGGGAGTGGTTATGGCAGCCTCACCAGGGACTTTGCACAGCCCTCAGCAAATGGCAGAAGAGGCAACACGCAAGAGAGAGCTGAGACTTTTGAAAAATAGGTAAGACTATATAAGAATTCATAGTCGGTGTTGGAAACCACTCTCCCTCCCCCACAAACATTATAACAAGGTTTTTTTCTTAAGGTCATGAACACTGCATGTAATTGATGAAAGGAAGGCAGGAAATTCTTTGTCAGTCATCCCATGCCCTTCTAGCATAGAGTATTGGTTGTTAAATCCAGAAGATTAGAGTTGACCTTACAGCCATGGATTTTTAGTTTGAAAATATTAGGTGATTCAGAAATCAGTATCAGATAATTTTTGTGATAATCCAGAGTTACAATTTTTGTTTAATTTTACTTCCTGTCCTCTCGCACTACTGACAGTAAAATGACCAAGAGGACCTTTTTCTTTTCAAAGCATCACAGCAAAGAATTTGTTAGGAAAACAGCTGAGGATCTCATTAGCAGCTGTCCATTAATGATGCTGTGAAGAGGACTTATTCAAAGATGGAATGATAATTATAGACTTTGCTAAATACTTGGCTGCTTGGATGAGATACTTTGCAGTCTCCCTGTCATTTTGTGAGGCATATTGTGTGAAGTTGATGTATATTTTTTAATTAGTTGTCATTGACTTGACTGAATGTTGTAAATGTCAGTCTTTCTCTGTGCATTCTTCTTACTGTTCCTAGGGGAGTCTGTCTTTTTAAAATGTATAGCCACTTCTGTCACTGGCAGATTAATAGAAATAGTCTGCTCTGCAGATCTCTAATACACTGCTTAGCCACTTGTCTTATAATTGAATTAATGGTATTGCTTTGCTCTCATGCCTGTCCTTTATTTTAAATTACTTACGAGGATCGCTGCATTGTTGTGCCTCCTTTTTGTTTCGTCACTCTTCAGTTTTAAAACTAGTGCCTATGCTATAGCTCATAATTTGCTGGAATTTTAGCCTCTCACTATTTGATAGTTTATAATGTTCCAAGGTGGTAAAGGAGAACTCCCAGTATTTTTAATACTTCTTCTGGAATTGAATACTTGTTTAGTCACATGCTTCTGAACACATTAGCCAAAACATTTAGCTCAAATATTGGAGACTTTTGAGCAGAACTACAGAAATGGCTTCAGGCTGTCATTTACCAGTAACAAAAACCACAGACTCATGTGGCTGAAATGTGCTCAGGCAGCCAGTTCTGAAATGATAATAAATTGTATTTGTTTGGACTTAAATTGTACTGTACATTGTTACAACATGCTGTAAGTTTTTATCTTCATGTAGGCTTGGCATCTAGTTTTTATCTGAACAGAGTAGTGTTATGTTTGTGTTTTTCCGAAAGTATATTCTCTGGGTTTGGTTTTAAGATTTTGATGGCAGAAGACAATGCTCCCGATAAACACACAAAGTAGAACATGACTGGAAGAAGAAATGTTGCTTTCCATCCTAATGTTTAGTACAATTCAAATCAATACATCATCATTTACTCCCTGTCTTTCTCAATTCTTCTGTGTATAGGTTTGTATTTGGTGGTGCTGGATGCATTTCAGGTTCTAGATGTTTTGGATTATATTTTAACTATGTTACTGCTTTGGGCTGTTATCCAATGTTCTGTTTGTGCAATCCAGCAGTTGTTGGTGGTGGTTGTTGTTACTGTGTGGAACCACAGGGATTGCAGGTAATTGCATTTATCCAGTCTTTGCCATATTGTGGCTGTTCCTGTAGTCATTTGCCTTGTATTGGTTCCAGGGAAGCTGCCAGAGAATGTCGCAGAAAGAAGAAAGAATATGTCAAATGTCTTGAAAATCGTGTGGCTGTGCTTGAAAACCAAAACAAGACTCTCATTGAGGAACTCAAGGCCCTCAAAGATCTTTATTGTCATAAAGCAGAATAACTGTCTTTCATTTGGACCTCCTTTATTATGAACTTTAATCAAGGCATGAGAGGAAGCAATTCTACAGATTGCCATATGAACTTGAGAAAGAGACACTTGAGGCCCTTGTGGAACCCAGTTTTGCTTAGTGTTTTCAGACTGATTTGGGAGATATTCCAAAATTTGGAATTCTGTCATAGTCTCCATACTCTGCTGAGCTTTCTAATGGCATGCAAATGGCTTTTTTGTTTGCACTTTTTACTTCTGCTTTTTGCAGGGAAGCTGCTAAAGAATGTCGACGTCGGAAGAAAGAATACATAAAATGTCTGGAGAGTCGTGTTGCAGTGCTAGAAGTTCAGAACAAGAAACTTATACAGGAGCTTGAAACCCTAAAAGACATTTGCTCTTCCAAAACAGATTAGTAAATATATTTATTATACTGTGAACTAAGATATGTCCAGTTGCTTTGTAAGACAATACATAGCCAACATAACTTATGGCATCTTTGTGTCATTTATAATATATTCCAACTCCTAACATTCCTGAATGCTTTCCTGCTTTTTGTCAATTCATAGCTCTAATTTCAGGTTTTTCATGCACCATCCTTCTGTCTCCCAAGGAGCCAAATTTTAAAAAATATAAAGAAGTAAAAAAGTGCATAATTTCTATGAGCTGTTTCTTTGCCATATATTTACATACTACTTTTTACATGTTACTGAGTATCCTGCACATTCAAAATATTTTGCAATTGTTTTAGATGAATCATAAAGATAATGCATCCAGTAATACAAGAAAATCAACCAACCCAAGGTATCTCAGGAAAGAGTTTATAAAAGAATGTTATGATTATATGTAAGTACTAGCATACTAGCCTACAGATGAATTTATGGCATATTTTTATATTAGTTGCTTTGTGGAAAAAAGTATTGTATTGCTGTCACTGAGTGCCATGGTTAAAGATAGTTTTTAATAGAAACATGTTGTTTAACCTGTGTAGTGTCTGATTTCCTTTAAAAACCTGGTTGAGATGCTTTAAAATCCATGAGTATCTGAAAGAAGACAAAGGGAAAAAAGCACACCTAAGCTCATGACATGATGCTAAATATGTTGTAAATACCTGTAAGAAGCTCTCTGTTATATGGCTGCTATTTACTTAAATTTTCTGTAATCTGCAGAATATTTGATTTGCTGGAGGTCTGTATATCAAAATTTAAATGTTCATCCTGAATACTTCACATTCTAGATCCTGTACACCTGTAGATAATTGCCTGTAGTGAAGATTGATTCAATTCTTTTCACAATTTCAGCAAACTATTGAGTGGTGGTCAAGGTGTCCTAAAGAAGGAAGCTTTTCAATAAGTGACTATTGGCTCATTCACTGAATTCTGGAATAGCCTATAGATGGGATCTGAAGAGTTTTAACATAAACCCATGTTTAAACCACGTTACAGCTCTCATAAATGCAGTATGTTCCAACTTTCCATTGTGCTTTGAAAAAACTAGTGTATATGCAAAGTTGCTTCTGGGTACTTTTTAAATTCAGGAATGATCTAATTGTTTGGCCAGTACAGTTTATGAGCAGAGTATTTGGGAGCTTTGCTGGAACTAATGGCTTTACTGATGTGGTAGGAAGAAAGGCCTGTATCCTACTTAACTGGCTTTACTGAGGGTGTGTGTGTGTGAGTGTGTGGAAGGGGGAGGAGGGATGGAATCCTACTGAAGTTATTGAGACTTCCTAATTTAATTTAAACTCAATTTGCATTTAACCCTCTTCACTCTGACCCTGTTGGGATGGGTTGGTTTATGTATATGTTTTTTTTTTTCTTCCCTAAATTTCTTGAAATACACAGGATCATTTTCTTGAATACTTTGAAAATCCCACTAAGTACCTAAGTGACACCATTTGTAAGAAGAGGTATTCTCTCTCACTTCCTGCAGCCACATCAGTTGATTGAAGGAGGTAAGAAGATACCTCTGGCCTCTAAGGCTCTGATGCAGGTTTGGAACAAAAAAAGTAAACTTTGAAATACCTTCTTCACTGTGAAAATACATCTGAAATGCTAAGGTCAGCAGAAGTCAAAGGTTCTGTTCAGGTTGGACAGGATGAATGCAATCTGCAGATCCATGTTGCAGCCTCTGTAGTGCAACAAGTAAGTTATTTGTTATGGCTCTGTCACTAAAGTCTGTTTTCTGTTATGGGTAGGCATTGCTTCTGACTCACAAGGGATTTGGAAACTTAAATAGAGAGAAACTTGTGTGTGTGTGTGGTAGATACATCTCCAGTAAAAAATCCCCTTTATCTTCACAATAGTGTCTGGTACTAATTACAGTTAGAAATTTGATGGGAGGAATCCTTGTCTATTCCACTTCTGTGTAGTTTTTATTTATTTCTTTACTAGTAGAATCATACAATGGTTTGGGTTGGAAGGGACCTTTGAGAACATCTGATTCCAAACCTCCATGCCATAGGCAGGGATGCCACTCACTAGTAAATCATGTTGCTTAGAGCTCCATCCAACCTGGCCTTGAATGCTTCCAGAGATGGGGCAACCACATCTTCACTGAGACACTTGTTGAGTGCTAATTTCATAGTAAAGAATTAATTCCTAATATCTAATGTGCATCTCCTCTTTATAACAATTGTCCCTTGTCCTGTCATTTTCTACCTGTGTAAAAAATTATCTCCTCCTTTCCTGTAAGTACTGAAAGACTCAGTGAGGTCTCCCTGGAACTTTCTTTTCTCCAGGATGAAATAGCCCAGCCATTTCAGGCAGTTCTCATTGGAGAGGTGCTCCTACCCTGTGATTATGTTTGTGGTACTCCACCAAACCTGCTCTAACAGGTCCATGGCTTTCCTGTGCTGAGGCCCCCAGAGCTGGATGCAGCACTGCAGGGGGTCTCTGCCAGAGCAGAGTAAAGGGGCAGAATCCTCTCCCTGACCTGCTGCCCACCCTGCTGTGGATGCAGCCCAGGATGGACTCAGCCTTCGGGGCAGCAGGCACACACTGTAGCACTGATGGATGTGGTGCAGGAAAAAGGGCTTTTCAATACAATAGTATTCTTTGTATAGAAACACCCAAGTGAATCTGAGTTGGTTTATTATAAGAGAATTTGAGCGCTGCCCAAGCTTTGATTTGGCAGAGCCAAGAGTTTTGTTTTCTCATTATCAAGAAAAAAGGCCAAAAAAATTGTGGTTTTGTCCTTCCTGTTAGAAAATTGCATTTCTATTGTATGAAACTCTTTTATTGCTGAAGCCACACAACTGCAAGTTTATTTAAGATAGACAGCTAGAGGATTGGCCTTGGAGGGAAAGTGTGTACACAGGCCTGCATGGATTTTAATTTTTTTTTTTTCAAAATAGATTTTCATGTAGCTCAGGTAAAATAGTCTCTTGGAAAATATCTTCAGCTTCCTAGACTTGTGGGTGATGAGGAATGTAATAGTCAGCTTTGAGTCATAGCTGTTTCCCTCTTTAAGCAGATGTGCAAAGTCTATAGGCTATCCAGACAGATCTCTCTTGACTCTCTAAAACAGCCTCAGCTGTTTTGGCCAGTGAAGAAAGGGATTAAAATAAGTATATTGTAAGAGTAGGTGTGGATTTGGCTTCTTTGGAAGGACTTTTTGATTGTTATTCCCACAGATTTTGCGCTTTGCAAGAATAATTGCAGATTTTTTTTGTTTGTTTGTTTTTGACTGCACTTACACAGGCCTGAGGAGTGCAAGTTGTCTCCTGCTTGGTTTTCCTTCTGTTCTTGTCACACGTAATTGCTGATCTGTACTGGTACTCTGCAGACATCGGTGTAACAGCTAAATTCAGTGTGATTGTTTTCTGAATTAAATATCACTTCAAAGAAAACGAAGGGGTCTGCTCAGCTTCTAGTTTGGATTGACTCATTTTGCCCACAGTTTTTTCCTGTTTCATCCCCATAGTATTTAGTGTGTGGGTGTGTACAAGGCAAGACTGTATTGAGTGCTGTGCTGTTAAGCAGCTGACAGAAGTAACTGCCTTTTGCTTGTCAGCCTTTCTGTAGAAAATACTGTCATGTGGGGAGAGGGTCTAGTCTTTTTTGAGATTTTTTTTTTCAGGCACTATGAGACCCTTGTGAATGAGAATAACAGTGATCTCATTATTCCAGCAAAAGTGTTCTAGTATTTGCTTGATATAATAACTGAGGGAAATAATTTAGGTAAATTCTAGAGCAATTTGGTAGTCTGTCATGCCAACTGGAAATGGCGGGTAGCAAAAATCAAATTATTCTTCTCTGTCTAATGAATTTTTAGTCTACTTTCTCAGGTTTCTGGGTTTTTTTAAATTCTGAGTTAGAACTTCCTTCTTGCAGCAGACTTGCTCTAATACAGTATGAAGCAAAAGCTTTGTATATGCACAAAGTCTGAGAGAGAGCTGCATGTAGACTGAGGAAAAAAAACTTCATTTTGTATTCTGTGTGACTTGAATGGAAAAAACAGTGAAGGAAGTGTCTTTGTTATGGTAACTGCTGAGCTTTTTCCTCTCTTTTAATAGCCTTTGTCAGTGAAATCAGGTGTGATTAATACATCTCATGAATGGAATTAGGGCTATAAAAATGTCATGATTGAGAAATCTCGTTATCTAGCCAAGTCATTGTTTTTGTTTTGTGGCTTCAAAAATACGATTTCCAAACAACCTTGAATGAGGCTCTTGATATCCTCACTTTCATGATTCTCCCCTCCACCCCTTCCCAATGTGGTTGTACTCACACCAGGTAAAAGTTGCTGCAGAGTTGTTTAACAAGCTCAGTCTGGACCAATGGGGGTGTTTTTTCTAAAATAATTCTGTTAAGGCTTTTTCTCCCCCTAAGCAAAGTACTTATCACATTTCTAGCTTCCATTAATTCTTACAGAAGTGAGAGAACTGTAAACACATTTTTAAGTTTAATGCATACTGAGGTGTTTTGCTTGATGAAGTTGATTCTGAAAATCTAGATTCTCCTGGATCCTGGTTATGTGAACTAAAAGCTTTCTGAAGTTTGTCAGTTGGCATACAAACAAAAAAATACTGAAATCCTTGACACCTCTGCATTTTTACCAGTGAAGTTGTCAGTTACTTCAGAAATCCAGACATGGGCCTGGGGCTGCAGCTTTCATGAGATGTGAGCGGCCCAAATCTGTTGAGATCTTCAAAGCAGACGTTGTTCTTTTTCTCTCATTTGAAGCTTGATCTAATTACCTTTTCTGAAGTGTGTCTATTGGAAATGGTCCTAAAATTTCAACAGCCACATAAAACCAGGAAAAGTTAGGATGGATTGAACAGAGTGTTTGAAAACATTGGTGTTACAGAGTATAACACAAGCAGCTATGGTAAGTTTGGATGTGGTACTGTTTATTTTTAAACGTCTGTATTTTTTGTGCAAAAGCCCAGTTGGTTTATATAGGGATCAGAGTTCTGCAGTATTGAGCACAGGATGAAAAGTGTTAACATTTCAAAATCAGTTCCACTTTCTTTTGTTGTATCTTATGTAAATTTTTACCTACAGCTCTCTCCCTCATACTGTCAGACCTGTTCCATACATTCTTTGTTCTTTTTCATTGATGATTTTCATTTTCCTGAAATACTAATACTGTTTCCTGTGAAATGACAGTTGCTCATGTTAGTATCATATTTCTTCTAGTATGTTTTGAACCTGGTGGTCAACAGCAATTAAAGTTCATAGATGTGTTAAAAATCTCTCAAAAGTTCATGAAAATAGGGAGTTAGCAGTGAAGGCATGGACTTACTACAGGAGAAGTTGGAATGTAAGATATTTTAGATTCAAGAAAACTTTCTGGGAATTCTCTCCTATTAGCTTCCAGAGAATTAATTCACTGATTGCCCGTGAACTATAGAAAGTAAAGTTTTGTTGCTGACAACTGTTTGTGTTTTTTGGAGGATATTTGAATGTCTGTAGATTATACTCTATTTGTTTAAAAGGACAATTTGTTTATAGACAAAATGTATTTTATTAAAAAGCTTGAATACCTTGCAGACCTAAGTTATTGGGTCAATGAGCCAGTGGTTGTTTAATAAAGGAGAGTGCAATGTATCCTGATAAAATACTTGCTGGATGCTCCCCCAAATTGAAACAGTTACTGGCACTTTTATTTATTTTTTTTTTTTTTAATTTTACCCACACTGCAGCTAGGCAAATATGTTACAAATAGATTGATTTTGAAGTACACTATTTGCAAGAAAAAATAACCACTGCCTGTAGTGTTACGTTGTAGTAGCACTGAGTAAAATCTGATAATTCAGTCTTAAATTTGAAATGCTGGTGATTTCTGACCTTCTGGGTAAAGTTCAAAGCAAAAAAGACACAATTTTTTTTCGGCTGTTTTAGAGTGACACCTTGTGGAGTATAAATGTCTGGACTTTATTTTCAAACTGACAAAGCAGCAAAAGGATGTTCCAAAAGTGGGGAATTTCTTGTATCCTATGGGGGAGATTTGGGGGGTGGGGTGTTCTCTGGCTGTTAAGGACAGAAACTCATTTTTCCTGCTGTTTCTGTGTTAACATGTATACATAAATAAGTGATGTAAAATTTGATAGCCTTTCAAGAGGAAAAAAAATTATATTGACAGTTTTTCACTTTATAGTCTTTCTGATCAATAGTCCCATTTAATGAAGGACAAAATGGGAATTACTTAATTTTGATTCATAATAATAATAGGATTTATCTAAATGCTATTGCAAATACTGCTTTTGAGACACAGTCATTAGTAGTTCTAGATCACAGAAATTAAATACAATAAAAAACCTAAGTATCTTTTGAAATATAATGATGTAAAGGGAAAATGAAATAATGCAGCTTTAATCCTGGCATATGGAAATAACATTCTGGAAATGGAAGGAAGAAGTAAAAAGGGGGTATGTAGAACACAGGAAAAGGTAAAGACAAAGTCATGAAGAAAATTATTCTTCAGGATAGATAGATTCTACTTTTCTAATAAATTGCACAGTTCTGCATTACAGGCATGACTATATAGCATTCTGTCCCCCACAGACACATCTGCAAGTGACCATGTGGACAGTTCACACATGTGTTTTTCCACAGCACCTGTGAAGTGGGTGAACTGAGCACCTAAACAGAATTTTTTTGACTCTTTCAAGAGAATTAGCCAAATACATGAGATGTGATGTCAAGATATAGAACAAGAAATGCATTTGCATATGGTAAGTTTATAGGCCTATTCTATAAAAAATGAAAATATATGTGTTTTTAGAACTGTTGTTATTAAGAGATTAAATTAAATATTTATAATTTGACAATTAAACTAGTTACAAATGCAATGCAATTTTTTTCCCCAGTCCATAATATTAACTTGGTAACAGTTAAGTTTGTGTTTTAACAGAGACAGTCTGAAGAGGGTCAGTATCCACTTTCACTGTAGTGTATGACTGCAAAGCTTATAAAACTGATTTGCTGTCCCAGCTGGTTTCAGTGTAGCTGTTTTGGCCAGTGTTAGATCTGGTATCTCTTCTCCAGACTAGAGCATTCCTGGGGTGACAAACATTATACTCAAACAACATCTAATATTAGCTCATGTTGTTTGAGTTGATCAGTTGGTTTCACAAAGTCCTTCTGTTTCCACTTTATACACACCCTCACACCACCCCACTTTCAAGAACGAAAGAAATAAATTTTACATTTCTTTAGCCAGTATTTTAGCCCTGGAAATCCTTCTGTTTGGTCTCCCACTTTGCCATTAGCTCCCTAAGGATCAGAAATGGTTTTGCTCCCATAACGCAGCTGCATACTTTTACGAACACCAGAGGTCTCATTGTGCAGCTTGGAAAGGTATGAGCAGAGAACAGAAACAACTTGTGCAAATATGCACAGCAGCAAATATGCACTTGTGCAGATATGCACAGCAGCAGGCCTCAGGTCAAGAGTCATCTCTAGAGATATATTTCTACCAAATCTCCTTTGTAAATGACTGGCAACAGAACCTCTGCTTTCTACTGCTTATTTGCCCAAAACTACATATAAGATAATTTGTTCAAGTTATTAGCGTTTCTGGAAGTACCACTTTTTTTTTTGGCTCCTTTTAGTTTGTATTTCAAAGGTTTTTTCTCAGAGTGATGACTCTTCTAGCAGAGCCTAGCTGCCTCTGGGTAACAAAGTTCAAGTTTGATTTTTTCTCTAACAAGATGGTCAGCTTCCACCTATGGCAAGGCAACTTTTTAATGCACACTTCACACTAAGGGAACAGCTATAGAAATGTCCAAGAGCTTTTTCAAGTGTACCAAGGAAAAATAAAGACATATGCTCAAACTAGAAGGAAGGAAAAACTTACTTCAAGCAAGAAGAGGGCATTCCCATAATAAAATTATCTAAGCTCTACTCTGAAGTTTCATAAAAAACTTTAAATCTGGCCAAAGCATTTCCTCACATACTCCTCTGCCCCCTGCAAAGGTTTTGAAAATACAAAATATAACTGTCCACCCAGTCTAAAGAATCTGAAAGAATCAGTTTACAGCAGATTATGTAAAAAATATGATTCTGATGCCTGCCTCCACTGAAATTGTAAGTAAATAAACCTAGTGCTTTCATGGCTTCATTATGCACTGCAGAACGACAATATTTAGGATAGAAGAAAGCATGACTAACAGTGTCCACATAAACTTAAATTTTGGTTAGGCTATGGGGTAGTCTTGTCTGTCTGAATTACTCTTGGAAAAATCTTTATAGCTAAAATTACTTAGATACAAAGATTTATGCAATTGCATGAGAGAAATTATGTATAGATCAAACTGAAAATATGAGTCATTAGTATCACTTACGAACGGGACAATGGTTAAGTATGTAGGTCACTGCTTAGAGATTAGTTATCTGGGATCTTGAACAGATGCCCAGCAAAATGAAACACACTAAATGGAATTCCTGATATAAAATCATCCTAATAAAATACAACATTAACTTTGCAATAATGTAGAAAAGTGGTGTCAGGACAGCAGCTTTGTTTTAAAATACATGATAAGGAAATAAGTCTGTCAGATGAACAGAATCATAAAGATAGTGGCTAAATACATTTTAAATGTGGTTAAAAATGTATTTCTAATGAATTCATCTACTTTGAATCATTAGCAACGTAAAGTATGATGAAAAATACTCAAAAATATCAGTTACAGGGAATGTAGCTGATACGTCATCAGGTATGACATTTAGGCCAGATGAGCAGGTTTTGTTTGATCAGGTCAGTCAATAAGTGTAGCTGAAAGCATAGCTAGACTTCGTAGCATATAAGCTACCAAAAGGAAACCCTAAGTCAGTTGATAACTGAGGAAAATGAAGGAATATACTGCAACAAAGGGGCTGGAAAAATTAGTTGTGCCTGCTGTCTTAGCTCAGTACTCAGTAGCAGTGGTACAAAATGAGTCTGGAGTGCTACAGCTGGTTCTACTTCAATGTTCATGAAGCTGAGTATGTCCAGTGAGGAGAGAAGTAGACCTGCCTGAAGAGCAGAGCTGGTGCACAGCCAGAACTTGGCCTGCAGATTTACTTGTGCCTCATCACTGCAGAAGCACTAAAGGGTGGAAACCTTGAAGAGTATCCCACATTGATTGTACCCAGGAGAACTGCAGTGGCATTTGTGAGCCTGCTCTGAGAAATAGCCATATCTTAAGGACCAGATATTAAATGGTCCAGTAAATTGCTGGATGTCTAAACTTCAGATATCTGGTCCCAAATCTGGTAATTTGGTCTCTCAGTGTGTACAAGTTCTCTACACAATACATGACTACTTATGTTAAAGAGAGAAGTTCATAGGAGTAGGTATAGGAAGTTCATCTCCTTTCTCCTGATTCCTAGATAAGTTAACTCTTAATTGCTTGAAGTGATACTCATGTTACCTAACAATGATAATCTAAACTCTAGGTATTTCTCTGTAGACTAGTTCTGTATTTCAGTGCGAGGGCAGGCAGTGTTTCCATAATGCAGTCCATAACTCTGAGGATGGAGTTATTTGCTCTTGCTGAAGTTCCTTTCCTTCCACTAAACAAACAGTTCAGAGGGCAGTTACGAACAGAGGGCTGGGTTTTTTGATTGCAGTTAAGCAAGATACACCCAACCCCAATGTTAAAAATTCCTGATCCTTCCCAAGACAGATAAGAAGTCCTCAGAGAAACAACTGTGGTAAGGAAGGGGAGATGGTATTATCAGAATACTGGTGTACAGACAGCACATCCAGACCAGCATGATTGGTACCTGAAGACGTCCCAGGAGAAGTGAGATTGAATGCTCTTTGGCTGAGGAGGAATTTGATACGTCCTACACAACTGGGACAGTGATCCTGATTCTGTGCCATAGAAAATGTGCCATGAACATCCCAGGCATGAATAATCATTATTATTATCATTAATATTATCATTTTAAAGGGTAGCAATAGGTTTCATATGTTAAGCTTGATCTGATAGTATGAAGTAGGTTTTGCAACTTTGAAGCTAACTGGAAACCCTAATGGTATCAGGTTGTATTAGGCATTCAGGTTAAGTTGACTGTAAGCAACAGTTCTGTGAGCACTGTAAAAATTGCAGCTGTTAACAGGAGCAAAAGTGTAGCCATGTCTGGAGCTCTTAAGACAGATATATCCAAGTTCATTCACATCCCATTTTAAACAGCAAAACCTTAGCTTTGGCAAAATCTGGCCTCATTGCAGTATGCTTAGCAAAATATCCTGTTCTTATTAATATTTCTATTTTGGTGAATTTGAATATAATTAAGCTTGAAGTACAGAGATAACCATGACCATTAAATACTAGATAAGGATTATTTTGTTTCTCTTTACTATTCCTTATAAGCTAGTATATTTTAACTTATTTAACATGAAATAAAAAAATTCTGAGTAGTTCCTAACCTTTTGAATGTATTGTAGAAATATTTAGTGGATATTTACAGAGCTGAACAATTGCATAAGAATACAAGAAGGGCTTAAGCTAATGTGTGCCTCTGCAACTCTTGGGAATGAGTCAGCTATTCATTTGGAATTGAAAATACACAATCGCAGGAGCATATTATGAAGTGTTTTGAAGCTATTTTGTTAAAATTTGTTGGATTTTTGTCAATAGTTAATTTTCAGCATTGTTATATAAATGAGAATTCACTCTTACCTGTGAAACAGTCTCAGAATAAAAACCCGAAATTCTTGACAAGATTTGTTTTTTCTTTGTTAGGGAGGTTTAAATTCGAACACTGTACAAATTGTATATTGCAATAAAGTTCCCTGACCCAAATTTCTAGTCTAACCTAGATAGTTATTTAGTTTCTGTGGGTTCCCAATGTCAACTTCAAAAGTTATGTTATTCAGATGAACAACATAAATTAATAATCAGTGCATATCTGAAAATGTTTGAAGATATTTTTGTCTTAATTTGCAGTACCATGTGCCACTGGTACTGGCTGACAGCTTTAGGACATCTGATTAGTTCTCTGTGCAGACAGAAACCTATTTTTTTGTCCTGTATTTATGCTTTCAGTCTTACCAGTATCTCACAAAAAATCCTGATTTATAGAGCTGTTGTGGATCTTGCTTCTCCAGTTCTCTGCACCTGACCTATTCAATCCCATCTGGAAATCAGTGGTTGCCTTAAGCTCTTGCAGTTTCTGTGCACCTCATCATACTCTTTATGTAAATTGATGTGCATTAGGAGGTAGGATAGCAAAGGTTTTTAATTTTAATTCACCAGATCAGCTTGTTGAAATAGGATTGTTAAAATAGTTATCCCTAAAAATGTGTGGGGTTTTGGGTCCATATAGTTAAATTGCATACATAATAGGGTTCCAACACATACGTGCA